GACCCGATCGCGGCAGTCATTGAGGAAGATGATGCCAAAGAGCCGATGTAGTCGAACTGTAAAGAAGAGATGTCACGCCGGGTTTGCCAGACTCGGGAACAACTCGGGACAAACACGCGCAACAGTGTTGCCAATATCGTGCCGGCAAGGCAAGGGACCACCGTGAATCATACGCAAATGTCGGAGGAGACTAGCAAATAATGCCTCCGGGACAGTCGTGGCGTGAGAATGACGTAGAGGGAGAATTCCGGAGCAGCGCGCAGTTGCTGAAGAAGAGCGAAGTGTAGTCAAGAAAGATACGACGACGCTGGCGATGAAACATGCTGGACGAAGAAGAAGGCAAAGTAGGACCAACGGCCTGGACAGCGACATCGGTAGCTATGTAGAGGTAGCTAGACCACTGGCCTAGAACGGCGACAGTGGCAGCTTGGAGACACGGCGGCGATGCTCGAAGTAGACAAAGAAGACTCGAGTGGCTGACGATGACCAGTGCGGATGACGAGGTTGTCGATGCACGAACGACGATGAAGACGACGAGACGGGCGACACTATGACCCGAAGGGGTGATACAGGTGTAGCTCCATGTTGATGCAGCGACGTGAAATCCAGCGGCGGTGAGGCCACAGTGAGGAGGACGTCTCTCCGTGGACCACAGGCGGCAACACTGCGGCCCGAGAGGGCGACGCAGCGGCAACCCAAAGCTTGATGGCGTAGTAGATATGCTCGCAGACGATCAGTTGCAGAAGTCATCATGTATGTGTGCTTGATCAGGTGATCAGACCGAAGTTGCACACAACGGAACAATGAAGTCGAAGCCGAAGTTGATGCCGATGTCGGAGACACGTAGATGTTAACGAGGCGGTAGGCGACACAAACCTGATCTCTGGTCGGGAGAAAGAAGAAAGATACAAGCAACAACACAGTAGCAGCAGTCCACACCACACCACAGCCCTCCAACGCAACTCATGCAGGTCTGGTCACCATGACGTCAACGAAGTCAACAAGCCTAGATATCTCCACACCAATCAGTCTCTCTCCTCTCACTTGGCAGCAACGCACGAGATCACAGCAGAGACGATGGCTAGTCAACAGGGTCAAAAGGAGGCACTGCAGAAAGTGGTCACAGGGCGCTCGGCCAACGACTGTCCAGCCAGAGATGCTGACGGAGGGCGTCGGCGCAGCAAGACGGAGGCGGTGCGGAAGGAGTCCGGCGGCCGGGTGGAGAGGTCGACGGGGTGGTGCCGGCAGAGCGCGCCAGGCCGGGGGCGGTCGGGGCTCGGCGACGCCGGCCGTGCACCTCGACGCGGTGAGGAAGAAGCGACCGTCCACCCGGCGGCGGCGGGGATGGCTCGATGACGAGAACTCGCGACGCGACGACCGGTAGATCCATGCGTTACTGCGGCTGATGCTTGACTCAAACCACCATGACGCCGACGAGGGTCACTGGAGAAGATCGAGATCGATCCCTCACGGGCAACCACCATGACGACGAACCCAAAAAAAAAAGGAAAACAAAAAATGGTGCCCGCCCCCGTGAGATCGAAATGCTCCCCGGGGCGACGAGCAGAAGCGCGAGCGGCGGCGACCCTACATCACCCGCTTGGATACCATATTGATAGTAGACGAGAGATATACTGCGAATATTAGACACGTTACCATCTTTCGTCGGTCGTCCAAAAACATAATAGTCCTAGTTTGAATAGGAATCGGGACTAAAAATTATTAAAGATTATTTTTAGTCTTAGTTCAAAGAAGTTGGCGGGTCTGAGTCAGGCCCCAATTATCTTTTAGTCCTGATTGGTATAAACAACCGGGACGATTGGTATAAACAACCGGGACTAAAGATCTATTTTTAATACCGGTTGTTTATATCAACCGGGACAAAAATAAACAGCCGAGTCGCGTGCCGATCTTATCTTCTCGGTATCCCCTCCCCTTTCGTTCTCTCCTTCATTAAGACTCGGTATCCCGAACAGATCGATCGATCAGAGAGGCCTCTTCCCCTTCCTTTCCCCTTCTTCCACCTTCCCCTCTCCTCTGATCCCCCTCCCCGCCTCCTCCTCCTCCTTCCCCTCTCCGCGGCGGCCGGGCGGCGGCGGCGGAGCGAGCCGGCCGCGCGGCAGGCGGCTGTGCAGCGGACGGGTGGCGGCGGCCATGTGGCAGCCGGTCGGGCGGCGGCGGCTGAGCGAGCTGGCTGCGTGGCAGGTGGCCGGGCGGTGGCGGCGGCGGCCCACGCTGGATGAGGCCGGCGGTGACTGGCCTCCCTAAGTGTGAGGCCGGGTAAGTTCAATTGTTAGGAGCGAGTTCAGATCTTGGCTCCTGACACTAAGGAGCTTTTTTTTTTATTTTGTGAATTGATGTGTAGATTTGTTTGTTGATTTGGGGATGATTGGTGGATTGCGGAAGGGCATGTATAGTGGATGATTGTGTATGATTTGTGAATGGTTTTCTTGGATGATTTATGTGTGTGATTTTTGTGTGATTGTGCTCGAGATATAAACAACAAAACAACAATGAAAAAAAAAAGAGAAAAAAAGTAACACCAACCGAGACTAAAGATCCGGTTATTTCAACTGGTCCGGATTCATAGTCCCAGTTATAAAACCGGGACTACAGGGGGTTACCAATCGGGACTACAAAAGGTTTCTTCGGTAGTGTAAGGAAGGATTACAAATAGGAAGGAATTCACACATATCAATTATATTCTAATATGACTCTAACTACCATATACTCTAACCAATATTCATATATGTGCCGCTTCTATGGTGCTGGTTGAGAAAATCGGTAACTATGTGGGGTTCCTAACCGGCACTGATGTGGTGTAGTGATTTTCTATATCTTATGGTTTGATATCTCCCTGCAGTGATCAAGCTAGGCATCAAATATTGAAACCACCGTCGATATGTTGGTGGAGACGCAGAGTGGAGTTATAGGTGCATAAGCATAACTACTTATCAAATGTAGTTCGGTTGTGCCTAAGGCTGTGCATGTTCGATACATTGAGTTGGGAACTAATCTCTTGCGCATGCAAAACACAGAGCGACTTATTAGCACATAATTAATTAAGTATTAGCTATATTTTTTAAAAAATAGATTAATATGTTTTTAAAGCAACTTTGCTATAGAAAATTTTTACAAAAAATAAACTATTTAGCATTTTGGGAAACCTGCGTGCGGAAAACGAGAAAGAATAGTTGATATTAGATGACAAGTTTTATAGTCACATCTAATATTATCCATATCATCAACTAATTTACTAGGGGACATTGTGAAAAGGTTGCTTTTTACATGAGGGGTCGTTCATCCTCTCTCTCCTCTTTTCTCTTCTCTACCTTATCATTTAAGCTTATGTGTTATCTAGGAGCTCGTGGGCTCGTGCTTAGATGCTTATAGTACTTGCCGATACTGATAGATAAAAATAATCTCGTTAATCTTATTTTATAGGAAGGATGTAGAGTATTACGGTTGGAATAAGATCACTTTGACTTCCTCAACTGACCACCAAATCTAAATCATATCCCTCAACCGCAATACTAGAAATTTTGAACCCCCAACTTACAAAACCGGTACAATTTGACTCTTTTGGTGGTTTTGGAGAGTGGTTTTGCTGATGTAGCGCACACGTGGCAGTGTTGACTTGGTCTTCGTCCCACGTGGCGTTGACGTGACACTTATGCTGCATTAAAATTAAAAAATATATGCGAAGCCCAATTGTCATTCACACAAAAATAATTGTGGGCCCCACTGACATGTGGTTCCTACATGTCATCCTCTCTCTCACCACCCTTCTTTTTCCTCCTCTCTCCCTTATTTCTCTCTCTCCCCTTGACATGAGCCGGCGGCAGGTGGGGGCTCGAGCGGCGGTGCGGTCGGAGAGCTCGGCGAGGAGCGCGTTGACGGAGAGCAGCGCGGCGGTGGAGCCCGCGATGACACCGAGCACGACGCCTGTGGTGCCCACCACCTTCCCGGGCACCGGCCACTCGATCTTCGACATCTCCTGCGCGACGCCGACCCACCACCCGCTGCTGATGGCCGCGGTCTCGGCCTCCTTCAGCTCCGCCGCCACCGTCTCGGGGCTCTTCTCCCCTCCTCCTCCTTCCCGGCCTCCTCTGCGCCGTCCACCACCGTCATGGACGCCTCCTGCTGCTCCTGCTCTTGCCCCTTCTTGTTCTCCTCCGCTCTTGCGCCCTTGGACTTGGAGCCGCGAGGGCGAGGCGGCCGCGGCAGCTGGCGGCGGCGGAGCGGGAGAGGGATAGGGAGATCGCGGGAGGGTAGAAGGTGGAGAAGGAAGCGCGCGAGGCAGCGGCGGCGGCGGCTGGGACGAGGCGGGCGGCGTGGTCGCCATGGCTTCCCGGTTTGATGGGTCCAGCGGCCCGTCCGCCACCGCCATTCGGAGCTCTGGATCTAGGCCGTCGCCACCGCCGATTCGGACGCCGCTCCCCACGCACAAAGAGAAAGAGGGAGAGATAGAGAAGGGAGGAGAGGGAGGAGGAAGAAGGGATAAAGAGAGGATGACACGTGGGACCCACATGTCAGCGGGGCCTACAATTATTTTTGTGTGAATGACAAATGGACCCACATATATTTTAAATTTTAATGCCATGTAAGCGCCACGTCAATGCCACGTGGGACAAAGACCAAATCAACGCTGCCACGTATATGCCACATCAGCAAAACCACTCTCCAAAACCACCAAGGGAGTCAAATCGTACCGATTTTGTAAGTTGGGGGTTCAAGATTTCTGGTATTGCGGTTGAGGGATACGATTTAGATTCGGTGGTCAGTTGAGGGAGTCAAAGTGATCTTCCATTACGGTTACGGTAAATAGTTTATCCGATCCGTTTGCCTTGGTGGACGGCCCAATACATCATCACGGCCTATCGAAGTTCGGCAGCCCGTACGGGCCCATGACTAGCGACCACAGTCCGGGCCCACACCCACACCGCCCAACCACCCCACTCCCCTCCCCGCCACGTCGCCATTCTTCCCGCTCCTGACCTTTCTCTACCCTTCTCCTCTTCTCTTCTCCTCTCCTCCCCCAAATAACCAAACCAAACCCTGTATAGGCTCGTATAGGCCAAGGCAGAAGCTTCCCAAACCCTCGCTCTGCCCGTCGATCTCCGTCGCCTTCTGATCCCCGCGCGCGCGGCTGCCTATATATAAGTTGCGGTGATCGGCGGGCGGCTGCACCGGCATGGGGCTGGAGATCATGACGGACGAGGCTGCTGCTGCGCCTTCGCCCGCTGCGGCGGCGGCGCGTGTCGAGATTTACCCGCTCTGCCGCTACTACTTCGGCGCCAGGGATGTTGCCGCTGGTGGCGCGGGTGCGGGGTTGGAGACCGCCGCCGACCGCGCCCTCCGCCTCAAGGCCAAGTACGCACGCGCGCGCGCACTACCCGCCACCTGCTCGATCAAATGCGTGACGATCATGTAATTTTGTGTGTGTGGTTTGATTGATCTGTGCAGCTTCGCGGCGCACGGGCTCCGGACCAGCGTCCATGGCGTCCTGCTGGTTGAGCTCTTTGATCATCCGCACGTGCTGCTCCTGCAAGTCAGGAACTCCTCCTTCCTCCTCCCCGGTGGCCGCTTGAGACCAGGGGAACAAGGTGCTCATCAATCATCATTGCTGCAATTTCCCAAGTTTTCCCGTAAAAATTTTAGGAATGGATTGAATTGAACCTACTATTGAATTCTTGCCATGTGCAAGTGTCTACTGCCGAGTAGGATGTGATTTTCTCCTCGTGGGAGATAATGCTAGTGCACCGGTACACTTGCAATTTGGATGACACGTGTGTTGCCTGGTATCTCTGCTTCAGATGTCCAAGGGCTCAAGCGCAAACTTTCAACCAAGTTATCGGTAGCTGGACATCAGGATGACGAAGACGGCGACGGGGACGACGAATGGCAGGTAACTGGAGTGAACAGAGATGTTCAGTAATGTTGGGAGTGAGACCACCAGTATGATCCAGCAAATTATTCATCCTTTTCACGTTGATTATCGGCTATAGATTGGAGAGTGCATTGGGATGTGGTGGAGATCTGAGTTTGATGCTGCTCCATTTCCATATCTACTTCCAAATGCCCGTGCACCAAAGGTAAAGAGCTTGACATACACTCCGGTTCATCCATGAACCATGTGGTTTCCTCAAATAATATTAATGTGCTTATAACCTGAGTGAATCATTTTATTGTTGCCTGTCATGAAGGAATGCATAAAACTGTTCTTGATTAAACTGCCGGTGTCTCGCCAATTTGTCGTGCCAAGGAACATGAAGCTGCTAGCTGTGCCTCTATCCCAGATTCATGACAATGCTCAGGTCAGTTTGGTTATCACCATCCAACACAAGGGATTTTACCATCTTTTTTTAAGCTCAGCTGCTTCAGCTGACTCTTTTTTTTTTTGCAGGTATATGGCTCAATCATAGCTGGAATTCCAAACTTGTTATCGAAGTTCTCCATGAACATCATCAGTGACTGAGATGCATGCCACATGCCGTTAAGAGCTGTCACGGCTTTACATGAGACTAGCATATTCGATCTAGTAGTAGAACATGTTGTGTATAAACTGTACCTGGTAGAAATATAAACTTTGGAATTCACGAGCTGGTGCTGTCCTGTATGTTGTGCAATCTTTTTTTTTTCTTTTACTGTATAGAGGTAATGTATTGTATTTGTATATGTTATCAACACCAGGTGTGGTGTTATTTTTGTAACCCTTCTGATATGGCTGTAGAAATGAAACAGTTCTGTACAAGATTTGTGATTTTCATTGCCAGTCCTGACAAAAGCTGAACCAAGCACACCTCGCTGCGAGGACCAAACATGTCTTTTCGATTGCCCAAGCAAAAGATAGAGATAGAACTAAACAAACTTTAAAATATGATCGTTAGAACAGCCACACCCGGCACAACCTTTCGAAGAACATTTGTGTTGTACGATCCTCCATGAGCGTACAAATAGCTTTAGCCCAAAAGGAAGGCTACATGTCGTGCTGCAGCAGCTCGTTCACTGTCTGAGCAAGGTTAGGCTCGCTCCTGATGCTCTCGATCCATCTCGCGCTGATACGGACCCTCTCGAGGCTCTGCTTCAGTGCACGCTCGAACGATGGTTTGGTTTTACCGGCGAAGAACTCGGAAACTTCAGCAGCCTTCTCCTCTGTGGTGAACTGATCATGCAGAGAAAACGGCGAATTTAGCAGCAGAGCAAGGAGAACAATGAAGCAAAAAGTGGTCGGTGACTTCGCGTACCCGTGAAACAGTAGATTTGACGAAGTCCGATATGAGTGAACTTGATGGCCAGGTCTTCAAGACATGATCCCAGTTTTCCTGCATCATGCACAGATGGGCTCATGGTCATAAAAGTACAACTTACTCTGAACTCCTAATCAGACTTGCTAAAAATAACAGAACTTATTAATGTAACTTCTTCGTTTAGCTCATTATTACTGCCTCTGTCCCATAATAATTGTATTTATAGGATTTGAATTTGTCCAAAAATAGTTATCACAACAGAATACTAATGGTCTCATTAATCATTTCTTATTCAAATTTCTCTCTATTTTACCTTCAACTACCCTCCCACTCTTACCTATATACCATTTAATAAGGGGTATCATAGTCTTTCTTCTTAAACCTTAATATATGCTAAACAACCTAGAATTACAATTATTTTGGGGGCGGAGGTAGTATCAAATAGTGTGTTATGCAGGCAGCATCTCTTCTATAAAGTGGAAAAATGTGTTCTATTGTTATTCATACGCTACAAGCTTGGATTTCCCTCGAATAGCAGAGAGCTATGCAGAATTGTGGACTCGTGAATGGGTTTGGAGATTTAAATCTCATGGAGGTGATCATCGAAATTTTTTTAGATAATGGAATAAGTTTCCCAGCCATTGGTAAGGGCACAAAGCTCATTAGCAGCATACTCCTATTTGGTGCAACTGCATAAACGGCTTCAGTTCATCTGTCAGAACAGCTTTCCTATGATGTACTGTGTATCTCAGTAAAACCTTTTGCTTTTTTGTTTTCTGGTTGGCTAAAAGAGCAGGACCAATGATATTTGGTAAAATAGATTGATTGCGCCAGTTTTGGGTGAAGAGACCTAATCGTGCAAAGTGTGAACAGGGAGGGAACATCATTCAATTGCAGTAACTTGGATATTGGCACGGTCGGTGCAAAGGAAGTTTTGATAATTTCATCTTCCCTATTTCATCTGTTTTAGTTCCATCGTTAACTTTTAACAAATTATTTGTTCTTGTATTGAGATAGACACCTAGCATGCATTGGCATTTGGCAGAACAATTGAACTTTGAACCCCTCACAACAGTAAAAATATATATATATTGAGCACCACATACAGTGCTTATGTTTTTTCTTTCAAAAATATCAGAAATGTGTGCGTTGTTTATCAGATAACTATAATAATCCACTTTAGGTACCCTGCAACTATAATAACATACCTTCAACCAGGCCCATGCAACTTCTCGTCCTTCTAAGCTGATACCACCAAGGACATAAAATGCATCTTGATTCCGTACCTAACAAGCAAGAGAGAGATTAGATTGGCTTCTGTACCAATGGTGTATAATGGTTCTCATTCTACCATTTACTATCTGGAATCATTTGTTCAGAATAAGTAAAATATAAATGATTCAGAGGGTTAACCTCATCGGTAAGCATGAAGTTTAGTGCCTCAAGAACAATATCCTTATCCAGGCATGAAGACAATGAACCTAAAACAGAAGAAACGTTACTTTCCAGGACAACTCATCAGAAAATTCCTGCTGTCGCTTAAGCTAGACGGTTGGAATGCACAAACCTAAGATGCGTGACTTCTCCTGAGCTTCAGCTGTTTCTCTGTAGATTTTCAGGAGGGCATCATAACCAGCTCTGCTGGAGGTAGTAACAGTCCGCATCACAGCAAGATATGAAGCCTGCAGACCAATGCATATCAGTATGCTAGATATCATAGAGGTAACACTGCAGTAGTATGTTAAGCAAAAGCCTGAACCTTTCTAGTGTCTGGGGGAAGAATGTTAGTTTTGCGGTCTTTTATGAAGATATGGAACCGCCTAACTCCCTCATTTATAGTCTCATCATGTCCAAGTTTGACAAGGGCAATCAAGAGCAATGATCTAAGCATTACATCAAGATGGCTCTCGCCCTCCTTGGGATCCCAGCCTAGTGTTCTGATATTTAGAAGTACAAGAAGGATTTCAATATGATCATAGAAAGAAAACAGCAGGAATATAGTAGACAGAAGTTTATTAACAGAAACAAATTCACCAGTGGCATGCGCCAACTCAGAAGTAAATATACAAATGCACATAAATGATAATATCCAGATTCGTGAAATCCAGATAAACATGATGATGAAAATGGTAAAACATTAAGTTTGTTAGCATACTTGGCAGCTGATAGAAGAAGATTGATCAAAAGCTGTTTGATATCTCTGGACAATTCAGGAGTAGCATCAACTGATATTTTATCAATGCCTAAGCATACCTGTCAAAAAGGATGCATGTATTTAATATTGAGAACAATAGTTGATACCATAGAATCAATCAAAGATACAAGGTATATGATTTCATTGGAGGTGGCGAAAGGTTTACTTACAGAGGTTACATGTGAAAGCACAGTGTAATCAGACTCATTGCGATAAGCATTCAGCAGGCGAAGCAAGGATGTCAGTGTTTGCTTGCGAGCCACAGAAAGGGAGTATGAATCTTCCACAATACCTGCAGCAAAATATTGTGTTTCTGTTGTCAAAATCTTGACAAGGATATATTATACGAGTAGTATTGAAAATTCATCTTGTCATTACCAATCTTATCCATTAAAGAGAGCTTATTGGCTTTGATTGCCTTTTCAAGTCCAGCTGCAAGTTCATCATCATACTTCACTCTATAAAATCCAGTTTGGTCAACGTTCAATTTGATCCAACAGTTTTCACCCTTCTCTCCTCCGGCATTTTGGGAGGCAGTGAGGTCTATATGGACCTTATCAGTCTTGCCCTTCAAGAGAAACTTTTTCTGTGCATCATATGAGCCACAACATGATGTTATAGGAACAATCCACAAGCCTGGACCAGAGGATCCGTCCGATAGAAACTGTGCCTGTAATAGAACAGACTTCAGTAAGCTCCTCTTTTTGCAATATGAAAGCACTGATATGGGCCAGAAGAACGAAATTTTCTAGTTCCAATACTTCGAAATCTATAATTTTGCCAGTTATTGGATGCATTTGAGAAAAAAAATACAACCATACACTTGTGAATAAAGACATCAGCAGACCATACATGAATAACGAAAGATAACATGAAACACAAAGCACACTATGATATTCTCATCTCCAGTTATTATGGTTCTGAGTTTCTGATCAAGGTGACATGCATGTTGTCCTAAAAGTGTGTATGAGGAAAGGTGAGGTCCTCTAGACAACTATGAGAAGTTAAAAACAAAAGAAACAAACTAATATAAGATTAGATGTATGAATAAAAGTAGAGGTTCTGGAAAGAAGCGATCCTGAACAAGTGACTAGTACAGCTAAAACTTAGACATATACCACCTCAAATCCAAATAAAAGTCATTTTAGTCTTTTACTCTTTTCAATCTCTCTAAGTGCAAGTTACTGTAGAATTTTTGAGGCAGTTTTCTCTTTTTTCCCTCCATTCTCTTTCTACTTGAAAGCTACTACTATTATGAATAAATGGATCGTGTTTTTAATGGAATAAATGAAGGGAACAACACCATTTTGCTACTTCCTTAGTTCTTGGGAATAAGGCCAAAAAGACTTAGATTTCAGATTGGACGAAGCATAAGGCAATGGAATAAGGCAAGGCCGATGGATACATATATTCAGTTCTTCATGTATGTTGGTATAACATGAGAATGAGAAATCTGCCAGAAAACCTGTTCAAGGTGCAAATCATGTCCATCTAGTTTTGCATAAATAACAGGGTATCCTTGTTGCTTAGTCCATGTAGTCATCAAATCCTTAACAGGTTCCCCAGATTCCTCCTCAAGAACAGCCCATAGATCTTCTGTTTTGGCATTCGAGTAAGCATACTTCTTTATATATGATGCCAAAGCTTTCTGAAAGAGTAAAAAATTCACAAAATCAGCACCTGCCGAAGACTAATAAATTGTGATAATAAATACAAAGTCAATAACATGACACAATCTCATAGAAAGACAACAATATGCTAATATGGGTACTAAAATTCTAAACGTTGTTACCGAGTATTCAAAAGAAATGATGTAATTGTAAAATTATGAATATCTTTTCTTTATTTATTTTTCCTGTAAAGAGACTCTTATCTTGGGTATAGTAAAGCTGGATCAATCTTCATACTTTGGTCTAAAAACTTATGAGTATCTTTCATGAAAAAATCACTCACACCATTGTTTATATATCTCAACTATATATTCTACAGCCTTTGGTAAAAGTTGATATGACTTGTTGACCGCATGCATTCTATGATATCACCTTCTTTACTGGAAAGAATAAACAAAAACTAAAAAAGAAAAATCCAAACTCAAGATATTCTTCAGCAGATTCACCACAGATTTGCAAAATGACCAGAAACAAAGTCAAAGCAAACAATTACGATGCCCTTTATTATTTTTGGTCAACAAAATTTTCTTAATCAATCTGAGTTAAATGCAATCTGGACTTCTGTAGAGCCATCTAGCGCTGAGTTGTTTATGAAGAATATAAATATAACATGCGTGGATAAGAGTGTCAATTCAAGAGCGCTGATATACTAGCAGCAGGAGATGCTGGAGGCTGGACCATTGCAGAAAACAAGATTTTGGTAAATTCATTCAAGGAGAAAGAAGAACAGGATTTAACCTGAAAACGCTCTGCACCAAGGTAACTTTGCAGCATGCGAATGACGGAAGCGCCCTTATCATAGCTTATGGAATCAAAAATTGCATCAATTTCAGAGGCATGGTTTATGTCAACCTGAACGAACATACCAAATAGCCAGATTAACAACTGGGACAAAGGTGCTAACTCTGTGAAGACAGAAATAGTAAAAAATGCATGGCAGCATATTGACATATTTGAGTTTCTACCCAAAAAAAAATCTAATTTCTAAGCATCAACACCTGAATAAATTAAGCAAAGATTTATAAAAATATCAAAAATTGGTTGTATTGTATGACTAGTCAGTATTAGGGATGAAAACAGAGCAGATAGTTCCCGTCCGCTCCGGAGAAAAACGAATACGGATACCTTTCGGATCGGATAATTCTTGGATAGTTCGGATACAGATACGAATACGAATATGGTATCGGAGTTTCTATCGGATACGGATAATAATTCAGATATCCGCAGAAGCCATGAGGCATACCCCGTTTCTTTATCTTTTTAGATTTTAAGAGTAGTTCATCTCTTAACACTAGTCCACACTATTAATATTATTTAAATTTTTAAAAATATTTATAAATTATACTACATTTTATATAAAATGAGCTAATTATATATGTTGATATTTGTTTCTATTAGAAGTTGAGTTGGCTTACGTGTTCCGAGAAAAAATTTGTTTCCGTATTTGTGTCCGATCATGTTCGATTCTTATTCGTATTCGAGATAATCCGTATTTGTTTCTGTATTCGAGCTATCCGTATTCGTTTCCGTATCCAGCAAAAAAATATGAAAACGAATATGGTATGAGCATTATCTGTCCATATCCGCTCTGTTTTCATCCCTAGTCAGTATGCATGCACAATTTGTATCCTTGTTAATTCACTTATCTTACTGCTTTCATGTACTTCCATATCTGTAATGCATATTTGTGCAGCATCAAAATATTATGTTTCTTATCCATCAGTGACTTCGCCAAAGCATACTGAAGAAGATTACCTCAATAGGATGAGACTCTGCAAGTGCATCCAGTCTGAGACCAGAGGTCGTCTCATCAAGAAATTGTGTCCAGTTATTCCATTCTGGAAATAATGCTTCCACAGCCAAATAACTCACCTGTTGAAACATATGGAATAATTAGCCGGTAAGATACACAACAATTGGACAATATTTCTAATTTCTCAAACAATAGTTTTCAGATTGAATACCCAGGAAGCAAAACCCTCATTTAGCCACAAGTGAGTCCACCACTCCATGGTTACAAGATTGCCAAACCATTGATGAGCCAATTCATGTGCAACAGTGATTGCAACCTAAAGAGAACAGATGTTAATTTTTCTTTCTTTCTTTCTTTTTTAAAAATAGCAGTTTACCTGGCCAAAACTACACATGAGGATTCAAGTGCGAGACTAACTCTCCAATAGTAAATGAAACAAATGAAATTGATAAAGATAAATATAGGCATAACCTGTTGTTTATTGGATGCTGAGGATAACAGCTCATCATAAAGTAAAGCTGTTTCTCGGTAAGTGACCAACCCATAGTTCTCCATAGCTCCAGCAGCAAAATCAGGAATAGCAACCATATCCAACTTCGGTAGCGGGTAAGGAGTGGCAAAATAACTGATAAAAGAACATTATTAGTTATTGTAGTGAAATAGGCACCATCCATGGTATTCTGCCTCATCTTTAGAAATAAAGCTTAGAAGCAAGACTATGTTGGAAGCTTACTCTTTGAATAAATCCAGTGACTTCACTGCAACATCTAGTGCAAACTTTCCTTGGTTACTCTTGCCAACTTGAGTATACACACGAACTTTGGTGCCTACATTAAATTAACAAAAGCCAATGAAAAAATGTGTAAAGACCAGGCAAAGAAGGGACATATCATATAGTTTGAATGAAAGAGAGCAAACAATGGAGACAGAAACTGAAATTCTACCTTCTAATGTTGAGCCCTCTATGTAATCAAATAAACCAACAACTATAGCCACTAGATAAGTTGACATAAGTGGCGATTCCTCATAATAGACGGTCTTGAGAGGTCCATGAACTGTCTCCTTAATTACTGGCATGTTGGACAGTGCTACCAACTCTGATGGAACTTCCAGTGTTAGCTTGAACTTAGCCTAAACCAGAAATAACCAGACAAGAGGTAATGTTATTTTAGATAATTGATCCAACCTTCCAAATTCTACAGAGCAAGGAGCCAAGGACCATGAAAATATTAGTTAAGACCTGTGTAAAAACTAGAAGTGCAAACTGAATTTTTCTTTCATTACAATATTTTCCTGTCTGAATTACATCAAAACACTCCTAGGGAAACAACATTGTAGCATGTTAAACACCTTAAATGCAGGTTCATCCCAGCATGGAAAACATCGTCTTGCATCAGCAGCTTCGAACTGTGTAACTGCCATATTTCTTGACTCCCCCTTGTACTCATACTTGCTGCAATCAAACACGGAAACACCACCCACAATGCATTAAAAACAGATCACAAGGATATAAAGAAAGTACAACCGGTGCACTCCAAACTACACTGATTATGTAATGTATACAGCTTTGTTACAAAAATGAAGATAAAATCCAAACATGGAGGTCCTGGATAATATATACAGTATTTATACATCACACTCCAATCATGAATCTTGGTGACACAAAGACAGGACAGGAGTAAACTAAGACTTACAAATGGTATATAGCACAGGAAGGTACTAGTTACATCAAATTGTGGCAATTTCAAATAAAAATGGAAATAAATATCCCAAAAACTATGTTTGCTATCCAAGCCCTATAATATTACAACATGCCAAAAAAATCATAATCAAAACTACATTATTAAGATGGATATACATATGCTAATGCTCTATAGGGCCTGGTGAACAGTGGGTGCTAGGCTGCGAGTTATGGATGGTGTTATGGTAGTATGGAGAGCAGCATACTCTACCAATAGCGTATAGTGTGTGTTTTGAAGACAAGATCAGGATCCTAGGCAGACACAAATGGTTCAATAAGTTTAATGAAGAGTGTTTCAGGATTAACAAAGAGTGGATGGTCGATCATTATAAGATAAGATTGTAGATTCAAGCTCACATCCTAAAGATCCTGAGATCTTAGTCACTTTCTAGGACATTACCAAATAAGATATAGATACTATCCATTGTCTTAGCACATCAAGCATGGCAACAATTTTTGAACCGGTACACCTAGCCCTTGTTGTTAAAGTTCATGTGCCAATGCTATTGATTGCTTCCAAACACACACTTGCAGTTTCCATCAAGTCACTGCTCGAAGCCTAGTTACTCATAACAACGAATAGCAGCTTCGGACCTCATCTAGTAGGTGTGAACCCCCCATGGTTCATAGGTATTCAAGTGGATACCCAAGATATTTGAAAACAATGCGTTATATCATAAAGCTTATCTTATTGTACTGGTTTAAAGCTTTCTTATTATATATCATGTCGAGGGTTCGATTCCTGCATCCTCAATTCTTTTTTCTCCTCTCTTTATTAGGTGTTCAATTTTTTTGTCTTCTGTTTGTTAGGATTTCAATAGCTTGTAGTAATTGTTTGTTAGAATTTCAATAGCTTGTAGTAATACTAGTGTTAGGTGTCTTGGACTCTTCCATACATCCTATGTAGTATGTAATATTTTTCTTATTTCCTCAAGTTTCAATTGGTCGTCTCCAGCACGAAGAATAGATATTCTTAAGTCTTCTTTTTTAACTAATATTGGAGTAAGAATTTGAACCAATTATACATTTTCAGAAAAGTAGCCTCCAAACCAAAAAAATTCTCCAAATTCATGTAAATCATCCAAACTATGGAAAACTATTTACTCATTTTTAATGGCATATCAAAAATGATTTTTCATAGATATCGTGACATTGTTCTCTAAAACTCGATTCTCTATCTAGAAATCCCACGTCCGCGACTACCATCTAATAAACCAGAACTGCAAGCTGTTGCTGCTGGAATGCCTGTTCGCACCTCATGTGAACGAGAGACTAGCAACAATCACCAGTTATCTGTAACTGAAAGAGGTGGCAACGATACCTCCTGTAGAAGCCTCTCATCTGATCGTTGAGCGTCCCGGTGAAGTCCATCTTGAGCACGCCCTCGCCGATCGGCAGATCCTGGCCGAACCCGATGACCACGATCTCGTCCTCCTCGAACTGCACCACCTCGGAAGGCACCAAATCCTACAAAACCCCATCATACAACGATTGAGCGACCCTGAAACGAACACACGGCAACAACGCAAACAGACACGGATGGTTAACGGGGGAGGCGGTGCGCGCGTGCCTGGAAGCGGACGGAGGATCCGTCGACGGCGAGCTCGGCGGCGTTGAGGACGAGGAATCGGGTCGGGGCGGAGACGGCGACGGCGACGGCGGCGGAGCCGGAGAAGGCGCAGGCGGCGAGGTCGGGGCGGAGGCGGAGGTCGTAGCTGAGCGGGGAGGCGCACCGCGGGAGCCGCGCCTGGCCCCGGAACTGCTCCGGCGAGGCCGCCATTTGCGGCGGGGGCGGTGTGGCGGTGCGGCGGTGCGGCGGCGGGAGTTGCGACGGCGAGTGGGGGAGTAGAGTAGTGGGGAAGGGAGGGAGGGAAGAAGACGATTATGCCCCTCGCCGCCGGCTAAAAAGGAAGGGAACTCTTGTTCGGTTGCTTCCGGGCCAGGATAAGCACCTTGGGGCCGCCACGTGTACAGAGCCTGAATAGGTTTAGGGCCTTTTGGCCCGGACCCAGAGGGAACCTTGGGCACTGTTTTAAAAGCCTGAGATCCTTAATACTCCGACCCCGTTTGATAGGGTTTTAAACTCTAACTCCAGCAAGAGCTAACTCCTATAGAAACTGAAGTGGGTACGAGAGTGTTTGGCTAGATTAGTCAGCTCCACTCCACCACGTTCCTTGTAGGCATTTTGTCGAACACATGGTTGGCATCGCCTTGCTACTGTCGTCGCCGCCGCCACCCACGCGTCGCCCTACACGGCCGCGGCCGCTGTCGCTCGCCCGCTGCCACCACTGTCACCACTGCCCGTGCACCACCTTGGCCACCACAACCCATGCGCCACCGTGGCTCGCGCGCCTCCCGTGCACCACCATCGCCCACGTGCCCGCTGACGCCGCCGCCGCCCGTGGCTCTCACGCGCCGCGCCGTGCCACCACCGCCTGCCGCCGCCGACGTTGACGCCGTCGTCCGTCGCTGGCTCGTTGTTGACTGCTGTAGGGAGGGAGGAAGATGGGGAGAGAGAATGGGAGGAGAGGAGATGTGAAGGGGTAGTTCAGTGGTATTTTTGTGTAAATACATAAAAATTTTAAAGGGTAGTGGGTCTTTTGGGTGGAGTGGAGCTGTGGAGCAGCAAAAATCCAGCTCCACCCCCATAGTTGATTTTTTAGGAGTAGCTCTACCAGCTCCACTTCCAAAAATGGAGGATCTGGACTGTTTGGCGCAACTCCGGCTCTAGGTAAGTTGGAGTTGGGAGCTGGAACTATGCCAAACGGGGCCTCCCTCTGTCCATATTATAAGTCGTTTGACTTTTTTTTAGTTAGATTTATTTTTTTAGTTAGACTTATTTAAGTTTGCAAGTTTAAAAATAAAGTAACATTTTCAATACAAAACAAACATTATATCAAAATATATTCAGTGTTAAATTTAATGAAACTAATTTTATATTGAAGATGTTGAAAATGCTACTTTATTTTTCTATTAACTTGGTCGTACTTAAAAAAGTTTGATTAAGAAAAATAAATAAATGACATATAATATGAAACAAAGGGAATAGTTTATTTTCTAATTTTTGAGCTATTAAATCAGAATGTGGATAAGAGTTTAGACGGTTTGGGGAAAACGAAAACTATTATTGATCATAAAATTACATGGACTTTTTCTATAAAATTGAAAAATAGTTTCCGATTCACCAAACTAATTCTTATCTATTTCTGAAGGAATAAAAAAAATACTAGAATTCTTAATTTTTCAAAAATTTTCTCATTGAAACAATCAAAAATTAAGAATAGGTTTTGTTGGTTAAAGTCAAAAATTTTTCATATAATTTTTTATTGCATATGCTACTACATTTTTTTTCATGTAAGTTTGAGTACTTTTTCGTATTATTTTGTAAATATAAATCAAGTATAAATTTATAAAATTATTTCATGTTTAGGATAGAAAAATCAATTTTAAGATGGAACTTTGTTTAAATATGGAAATTAAATGATGATAGCGATGAGAGCTGTTATATTTTTCATCAACGAATGAGAAAGGTAACTGAAATTTTACAAATGACCTGAAATCTAAACCCTCCCTGCTTAAATGACAATATTATATCAAGACAAGATTTTTAATGGTGTGTTTCGGTTTGCCGCTTATCAAATTATTTTGACAGGGTAATAAATGAAACTTGCCATATAGTATTATCCAACTAGGCTCCAAAGCATTGCAACTGAGGATCCCTCGAGTGTGTTGCATGTTTTCTTTGTAGCATGAGAATTATGCACAAATAAATATCAGGACGGTTCACATTGACCCTACAAGATAGGTTTGATTTAGTTCCTAAAATTCTTTTACCCAAAAACGTCACATCTAATCTTTGAACACATGCATGGAGCATAAAATATAGATAAAAACAAAAACTAATTGCACAATTTGCATGGAAATAGCGAGACGAATCTTTTGAGTCTAATTAGTCCATGATTAGCCATAAGTGCTACAGTAATCCACATGTGCTAATGACGGCTTAATTAGACTCAAGATTCGTCTCGCGGTTTCCAGGCGAGTTATGAAATTAGTTTTTTCATTCGTCTCCGAAAACCCCTTTCAACATCTGGTCAAACATCCGATGTAACACCCAAAAATTTTCTTTTCGCGAACTAAACAGGGCCATAGCTCAGTTCATCACTCGTGAAAAAAAACATATATTTATTTTTAGTGTTAAAAATGAGGGATGTAATTAAAGGAGCTCTTTCTTCTCAAATACGCAAGAGAGTTGGCATATTATTGCATCGGAAAAGGAGAAAACATAATACACGACAGACTCAACGCATCACGAACGCACCACAAACAAAAAGAAAAAAGATTACACCCTAAACTAACAATAGGATCTTTGACACCAAAGATCAAAGATGGCTTCTTCTTGATCCACCAGTTACCAAGCACAACATCAATTATTTTTTTATGGGAATTACTGTTATGTATTTGTCCAACAGTATGGCATTTATTAAAAAAATATTTACATCATACAAAAGGACATGAAAACCGTAGAAAAAAATTACAAAGATTGTAATCAATCAAGAACATTGAATCACCAACCAAAGAAAGAAATCAAAGCATTGACTGAGCCCTTGACTACAATGTAGTAACTTCTACATTTGTTAGAGTTGATTCTTTTAACTCTCTCGTTTTAATTCAACCTGTAACAGTCTCTCACTCATGTACTCTTAATTTGGATGTAAAGGAGGTACACAACTTAATTCTTTAAAAATTAATATTGATTACCACCAAGTTTAACCCCCTATAGCATCAATGCAGTAGCTTTGTTAGAGTTAATTCTTGTAACTCTCTTGTTTTAATTCACCCTGTAAATAGTCTCTCATGTATGGCTATATATATTTTAAAGTTTGCATGCAATTGACAGTAAGAATTATCTCATTCCATCTCTCGCTCTCCCAGTTCTTTATACTTTTTCATGCCTGGTATCTTATGAATCATATATAGGTTGTTATCATTATAAGACAATTTTCATTAATGGAATAGATAGCCAGGTAGGTTTTCTTGCTAGCTAGTAGTACTACAGAAGGAAAAATAAAATGATGCTATTCTTAGCTGAATGAGACTTTCACTCTTATCCTCACAACAGCATGCCCAAATCCATACACTATCCTAATTATAGAGCTCAATTTTAGTTTGTATATATCCATAGAACTCAATTTTAGTTTGTATATATCCGTACTACTTGAAATTGGTTTTGTTGTCCACAAGAGTCAAGGCTCACAGAAATCTCACCACAGATAATCTTGTTAGTTTCTTGAGAAAGGCAAGCTAGCTAAGCTCCCATTCCCTCTGCATTTGAATCTTTGATTTGAGAAGCTTCATATCTCCATTTCATGAAAACATGACTGGTGTGTTAATTCCAAGCTAATATTGTGAACATTGCATCATGTTCTCTGTCAATGCAGATGGAAGCTGCAGATGTAGCCAAGGAACATCACAAGGAGGAGAAAAAGGACAAGGTAAACATTCTTCTGGTTTTTTGAAAAAAAAATTTGTTGACAGGATAAGACTTATTCTCACTCATGATTGTGTGAGAATCATAAGAAATGACAGTCGAACTAGGAGAGTTCTCACAATAATACAAGATAATAAATACTAGTCTTCAAAACCAAAAAGAAAGGTGATACTATATTTGATGCTTACAACAAGAAATTCTCAAACAATCACACTTTAGTCACACAACCATGTAACATTGCTCACCAAACTCTGACGAACATCTGCACTCCTTTTTGCATGGCAATTATAAATCATCATCATCAAGGAACACGCCAAAGAGGCGAAACCGGAGAAGGAGAAGAAGGAGAAGAAAGAGAAGAACGGCGAAGAGGCGGCGAAACCGGCCAAGGAGAAGAAGGAGAAGAAAGAGAAGAAGGAGAAGGGCAAGGAGAAGAAGGAGAAGGTGGAGGAGACGACGGACGTGGCCAAGCTGCGAGCCAAGCTGGAGAAGCTGGACGCCAAGATCGACGACCTCAAGGCCAAGAAGCAGGAGATCGTGGCCCGACTCGTCCAGCTCGAGGAGGGTGCGACGGCAAATGCTGCTGCTGCAGATGCGGCACCACCTGCCAGCGGCTGAGGAGGAGGTGATCTGGGATTCTTAGGCAGTTCTTGCAATTGGACAAGAGGAGAAATTACAAACATTTTCAGACATTTGCAGGATTTGCAGCTAGTGACGATCTGTTTCTGAATGGAAGCTTTGGTACAGAAATTTTTGCCTTCTTACGATGATGATGGTCTCAAGTCGTCTTTGCTGAAGACCATGGCGCCATTGAGTGTTGCTTGTATGATATGATCAGGAAGTGAAATTTATAGCGCAAATGAGTTTCATTTGCAAGATGGTGTTGGAGATTATGTATGTGTCACGATAATTTTACGACAAGATCGATTCAAATTTTCTAAAAGAATCAATTACTACAGAAATGTGCTCCTATACCTAATTTCTCTCGAAATTTATATCATTGTTTCTGCATGTCCTGTAAACAATTACTAGCAGAGTACCAGTAGAGCTGAAGAAGTGAAGAAATGCTTTTTTTTCCCTCTTGAGTTCGTGCCATCCGTTGAAAAACAAACAGGAAAAGGCGAATAATCTTAAGCACAGTTTCACGATTTTCAATGCAGAAATCCCAGATTCCCATCTCCAAACCTCCGAGCATTACTAACAATCCACCAATAATCTATCCCTTAAACTGAAAATAGAAGGTGAAAAAACCGCTTCCTCCAAGAGATACCTAAATTGAATCTCAAAAACTAAAAGTGGGCTCTTCTGTTAAACTACCAACATAAATTGTTAACCTTAGTTTTTTTTAGAAATTGTTAAACTACCAATAGAAATCGTTTTTTTAGAAATTCGAGTGGAAGGAGGGGATTGGGAGTCGTTCTCTCGCCCTCAAATACACGTACCGAGAAAATTGGAGATGGGAACTCCAAAACGTCCAGAGCTCTTTTGGGAATCTGTTGGACCAGTTTTTTTTAACCAAAATCCCAAAAAATTAGGATTGAGGATGGAATAGATAGACTGTTGGTGATGCTCTAAGGCACTGCACTGGCAGAGAAAAAAAGTATGGTACTCCCTCCGTTTGAAATACTTAGGCCAAAGGAAATTCATAAAAAATTTAAAGGATTTTATTCTTATAGAAAATTTTTCTATATATCCCTTTGAATCAAAAGAATAAATCCTATAAAACCATATGAAATTTCTATGAAATGTCTCTTCCCAGACAAGTTTTAGAGAAAATTTAACATAAGGTAGAACCTCATGGAAAGAATATTTCTCCTTAAATTCTGGTGTTTTTCCTGTGACTTAATCAAATGGTCATTCCTATCTTCTACTGTGTTTTACAATCCTCTGTTCCTATCTTCTACTGTGTTTTACAATCCTCTGTTTTACACTTACATTCTTGTTAGAATCATATGTTTTTTTTCTATTCCTCCGTTTTTTCATTCATGTAATTTAAAGGGGCCCTTTTAGTTGTAGATTTGTTCTGTCTTAACCATCAACTTTTAAAAATTTGTATAGATTAACAACATGTGAATTATATTTTATGAAAGCATTTTTCATAGTAAATAAAAAACATAAACCTTATGATGTTAAACGAATTTTTAAAAATTAATGGTCAAAGCTACAAAAAAGTATAACTTAGGACAAAGCAGCAAGAACGACAGGTAATCTCAAAACGGAGGGAGTATTTGATATTTCTCCACAAGCAGTATTAAACTCTAGCATTCTGGAAATCATCATGACATCACATAATAAGATGGGACATTACTTAAGGTCACTAACATCAACATGCAAATAATTCCAAACAGCCCGGTAACACTTAGGAATTATTTACAGAAACATGCAATTCAAGAAGTATATTGACACTCGTCTAGGGAAATAACCTCAGGAATTACTATGAACAAACGGTACTGAAGCACGCGTGCATGTGATACTTACAATAGAACTTCTTTTGCCTAAGTTTTTATCTCACAAAATATCGAATACGTAGATAAGGTATTACTGCAGACTTTCGTAATGCCCAAGAAATCCAGAACATCCATTCCCTGCCATCCTCTTAGATCAATTTGGCCTGGAGCTGACCATCTCTTATCTGCGCAGCGATATCTTTGACGGCACCTGGCCCGTGAGGGATGAACACTGAAGAGGACTTGGATGAGGCTCCTATCTCCTTCATGGTGTCGAAGTATTGCGTAACCAGAACCATATCCATGACATCCTTGGCAGAGGTCCCAGGCACGTTCTCGGAGAAGGCAAGAACACTGTCTCTCAGCCCATCCACTATAGCCTGACGCTGCCTTGCGATACCCAGACCAGCCAAGTACTTGGATTCTGCATCTCCTTCAGCTCTCTTGATCTGAAGAATCTTCTCTGCTTCAGCTTTCTCATTGGCTGCCACCCTCAGCCTAGCAGCTGTATCATCAAATAACAGCAGTTAAAACTATGTTGCCGTCCAGCACATTTACAGCCATACAGCTCATCTTTAGAAAAACACCAGACCAACCAAACATATATGTTGCAGGCCCTTAAAAAGCACGAAATATTTACTTGACTAGTTGACCAACACATTTTTTGTTGCACACAATGTAATCAATAGGTTGCAGTTACATGTGCCTGTGTTACTTATGACTGTTATGGTGCAAGTATTCACGAAGTTAATATTCATAATATGTTATGTACATCTATATATAACTTTTCAGTGTTCCATCTATATATAACTTACAGTGTTACTGTGTTGAAAGCCTAAAAATATTTGTGGCAACAATTTTCAGTGTTTCAGTATAAAACTTGAATAAAACTAGACAATATAAACATGGTTTTGTTTCTCGGAAAGAGAATTTAACATTTTCATGTCTAAACAGGAGAAAATTGTTTCCAATGCAAGCTCAAATGTCAAGCATAAACACCAAGCCAAATAATGTCTCTGAAGAAATGGAATGAATTGATGTTTTAATTAATACTTACCTGCGTTGATTTCATTCATTGCTCTCTTAACATGCTCATCTGGTTCAATATCAACAATAAGAGTTTGCACAATCTCATAACCATACATTGACATTGCCTACAGAGTATATACTAGGTCAGTATAAAACTCCACTATGCTCTAGATGACCACCAATTATTGAACACAAACCTTTTCAAGCTCATCTTCCACAGCTTTTGCGATCTCATTCTTCTGCTCAAATGCATCATCCAAGTTCATCTTTGGAACACTAGCCCTGATCACTGCGAGGAAGAAAGTTCTGTTAGCATTGAACAATAGAGGCAAAACATAGAGAAGGTAATCAGAAGAGTATGAACTGCAAATGCATCGGATGCATGAATGTTCACAGCATACAGGAACCTTACCATCAAAAACATACGACTGGATTTGCTCCCTGGTGTTGCTAAGCCTGTAAAAGGCGTCTGATGCCTTCTCAGCAAGAGCACGGTATTGCACAGATGCCACAACATTGACAAAAACATTGTCCTGCAGATATCCACAAAATGGTATACATCGTCAGAGAGCTCAGAAAAGGTGGGTTTATTCTTTGATGCATCATGCATTAGTGTAAGTGAAGAATAAGGAAAACAGAGATATGTGCACATAACCATCATCAGTATGTTATCATAAAGGAGTAAACGAATGGAACAAAATGCAAGAATTTTGAGAACCATTTTTTATCATGCCTGACAATTGCTCCAGACACTTGCCATGAAATATAAAAGAAACCAGAGTTAAGAAAATAAACTGGGGAACCTTAGTCTTTGTTTCACAACGGACATCCAGCTGCTGCACACGCAAGGAAAGATATCCAGCGATCTGCTTCCCTATGCACCAGGGTAAAAAGTGGCATCCAGGCTCAAGAACCTCATCAAACTTCCCAAAGGACTCCTTGATGGCTACTGTCGATTGATCTACTTGTACCAAACCGAGTGCTTGACCCATGGCTTATCTAGAAAGGAAGAAATGCAGAATTACAAATGGTGCCATATGCTAACGAAACAACTAACAACTGAATGTTTTGCCATAATCTTGCTTATACTCCGTTGGTGTTAACTTCTCCAATGGAAATTCATATTTCAAGTTTTTAGTACATACAAACAGAAACAAAAGATATGAATTAAAAAAGATAAAGCCATGGCTTCAAATGAAGATGAATGTATGTCAGGACAATAGATTGCCCAACGCATCCCAAATGAAAAGTCAAGCAATTGCAATTTCAGATAACTTAGACCAAACAGTGTTGCAAAAAATATGTATATCTTGTTGAAAAGCATATCATGATAACACATTACTCAAACTTATACTGTGTAATCATTCCCTGAAAAATGCCTAAGATTACTACTCCCTCCGGGCTGATAATACTTGTCGTTTTGGACAAGGGTGAGGTCAAACTTTAGAATATTTGATTATATAAATCATTTTTAAAATATTTGTCTTTCAAATATGGTGACTACATATATAGATTGGTCTTAAAAAGTACTTTAATATGATCATATATTTGTTAACACTTTTTTACATATTATAATAGGAAATAATGGTCAAAGTTGTTTTTTGAAGACCGTGCGCTTGTCCAAAATGACAAGTATTATCAGCCCGGAGGGAGTACATCACAGGCTCACAGAAGTCAACAGGGTAATAGATGTAGCCATACAAAAGAAAAGAAAACAATTCACCATAGAAATGCAGTAATGAAAAAGAATGACGCAAAAGAAAACCTATACGTGCCGATCAACTTAGTGCTGATAGCCTGATAGGATAAATCTGCTTCAGGATGTTCTTGGCCACTACAGACTACAGACAAGCCAAATATATCATATAAATAGTTGAAGCTAAAGATTATGCTAATCCTGATTATACTTGGGGGAATGATTATACTTTTGATTAAATGCCAGCGCAAGCCAGCAAACTCTGGCGATGCAAGCCAAAGGGCAGACGAATCAAACAAGACACTTGCCAAGCAATCATTGTTTGATAAAAGTCAAGAGCAAGAACCCACAGGGCTCCACACGACGAGGTGACAACTAAGAAAGTCACAATCTTTAGCGAGTAGTATTCATCTGCGTCATAACTAAACAAGAATAAACAATACAGCCACTTGGATACTGTTGTTGAGAATTATTATTATTTTTAGCTGAGGTGGGTACAGTTCGACGTTAACCTCCATCTCATGGCCTAGTCTAGCAAAAAAGATGTGCTTGACTTGACTGAAAAAACCTCCTGAAATTTCCAAGCAGTATGTGGACAAAGCTGGAACAGCACACCATCGAATTTTACCCCCACTCGCAAAGCGCAAGCCCTAAATCTGTCCGCACAGAAAGTGGAAAAAACCAAGAACTCAAACCGCGTCCAAGAACCAACCGCAATTCCCAGGCTAAACTCAAGGAAAAGGACCGGAGAATCGACGAAATTACCCACCACCCGATTCCAACATCCCCCTCCCCCTCCCCCCTCCGACGAAATTATCCGCCCAATCTCCTCCACGAGAGCTAAATCCGTCCCCAAAATAATAAAAAAAAGAAAAAATCTAGAGGAAACCCCAAGAAACAAACGCTCGCCAAGAAATTCCAAGAAATCGAGGTCGGGGCTCGGGCTGGGCGCCCGCCGAAGGGGAGAGAGGCTGGAGAGGAGCGGGGTAGGGCTTACCTCGAGGAAATCTCCGGCGGCGGCGGCGGATGGGACGGGATCGTCGGAGTGGCGACGGTTGCCTCGGCCCCTCCCAAAAAAAAAAATAAAGGAAGGGGATTGAAGTATAGAAGTGAGGAGGGCAAATTCTGAAAATCGTGGGGGCTTCCGCCGCTGCTTATCAAGTATAAACCGTCCCTGTTTCTTTGTGCCTATCCGCAAGCATGCCAAAATTAATACTCCCTCCATCCAAAACGAGAACTGCTTCTAATATTAATACTAATGTGACATATCAGTTTTATGTTGATATTTATTCGACGGATGGAGTACGTCACAAATAAAAAAGCTAAAATTACACCTCTATCCATATGATTAGTCATCAAAGCATTTTCTCGATAACCAGAACAAATACTTCATCTATAAAAATACTTAATCTAGTATTCTAGTACAACGTATTTGAACATACTATATTGTTTTTTTTTTTTGATAAAAATGAGTATACGCTAGATGACACATTCGCAGGTGTGCTCATAAGCATTTGTATTTGCTCGGAAAAAAATAACTTCCTTTATTATTCTAAAATATAAGTATCGGTAGAGTTTTGATATTTATACCGTAATATATTTTTTAAAATATATATTCTAATGAATGGAAATCTATATATTTCCCGTCACTAAGATGTTAGGAAAGAATTTAACGACTAAAATAACTATAAAAGAGAATATTTTCTCTCTACCTTTCGTTTCGCTAAAGAAACTAAAAACGCTTAAAGTTTGAAACGGGTGATGTATTAGGTAAAGTCGTCAATCTATACAATCGTAGTATCTTCCAATGCCAATCTACATACTATAGTCAACAATCATGCGGATAAGACGAGTTTAGTGCCAAAAGGAAGTTGCGGGTCAGAGGGCACCGGATCACAGAGAAAATTAATTGGACTGCTAGTGGATAGGAGTTGCTGACTAGGGGGTGTTTAGATACACGGCGGTAAAGTTTTAGAATGTCACATCGTATATTATATATGGTATCGTATGGAGTGTTCAGACACTAATAAAAAAACTAACTGTAGAATCCGTCAGTAAACCGCGAGACAAATTTATTAAGCCTAATTAATCCATCATTAGCAAATGTTTACTGTAGCACCGTATTGTCAAATCATGGAGCAATTATACTTAAAAGATTTGTCTCGCAAATTAGTCGCAATATGTGCAATTAGTTATTTTTTAGCCTATATTTAATACTTTATATAGGTGTTAAACGTTCGATGTGACAGGGTGAAAAATTTTGGGGCGGAATCTAAACAGGACCTAAAGACGTTTCCTAATTCTTACTCCCTCCGTCCCTAAAAAGACAACCAGCTCTCCTAATATAACGAATCTAGACAACCCTCTGTCCAGATTCGTGGTACTAAAAGAGGGTCACATCCCCTCCTATGTTGCTTTTTTTGGGACAGAGGGAGTATGCACTATCCTCCAGGGCAATCTGCACTTATTGCTAGTAGATATAAGCGGAGTTTTTATTAAAAGAATATCCTTGTCTGTTACAGTGAAACAGCATCGGACTCACCACGCGTCGTCCTCGTGCAGGCTGCGGGCGGCTTGAGAGCCCTCTCATCTCTCCTCTTCTCCACCTCACCGTTGTCGGAGCACACTGCCTAGAGAACCTAGCGGTGAGTCATGATGGTGGCGACGAGGCTAAACCAACCCCGATACGCTTCACCTCTTGTGCGGGTGAGGCGGTGTGGAGCTTGGCAAGCCAGGAGAGGCTACAGTGGTGAACCATTAGTATGGGGTTGCTGATACAACATCATCACGACTGATCTGATGGGGTGTCCCTAGTCCATCATCTCCACGTCAAATATGACTAGGGTCAAACGGCGGGGGCAATGGGAGGCTGGCGTGGTCAGGCCAACGACAATTAATGGATGGCCGACCTCGCCGGTGGCGACAATAGTGGGAGGCAGTGCTGGGCAGCCGGCATGGCAGGTGGGCGTGACAACTAGTGCACTCGGTGGTTGGTGTGGATGACAACACTTGTGATGATGGCATGTTTGTTATGTTTTTTTTAACCTTACTGTGTTGTAATGTTGTAATTTTTGTTATGCTATATCAAAATAAAACTTTGCACTATATCAAATAAAACTTTGCAATATCTAATGTGGATCATTTTAAAAACCTTGATCTCAAATATTTCATTATCCATCGTTAAATTCAACTTGGCCACTAACGATGACTTTTTATACGGTTAGACTACTATGATTGACAAATCTATCTTACTATATAGTTGGTGCTCACTAACTTCTAAAACTCAATATGCAAGTATGTCATATTATCATCCACTAATAATTATTATCTAGAGTATTTTAAATATCATGCAAACATGACATATCATTTACAATTTTGTTGAATTTTTTAGAACTCAATATGCAAGCAATGTCAAATTATTATCTTCACATCATTTCCAGATTATTTAAAGATATACATTTACCATTTCTATAATGTATAACATGTATTCATCTACATATCTCGTAACAAAGCGCATGGTATCAACTAGTAATATTAATGTTAGCATGCAACACGCTTTAATAATAAAACATCTTTTCAGATATTTAAATTTGTTTGTGAACAGATCGTGATCAAAATAGAAATAGTATCAAGCAATTATTTAGATGAGTAAATTTCACAAAACTTCTCCTAATAAAATTCACAAAACTATATATATATATATATATATATATATATATATATATATATATATATATATATATATTGATCAAACTATCATAAAACTACATATTTAATGCATTGTATCACAAAACAACAAATTTAGCGTAAAATTTATCAAAAAAAACTACAGATTTAAAGCCAAGTATCACATAACTATATATTTAATATCGAAGTTATCACAGAACTACAGAATTTAGAGGTCAAATCCTTAGCACTATCAATATGTTTGAGCTATAAACGTTGCAGTTTTATGATTAAATAAACACTAAACCTTTAGTTTTATGATAAATTTGCTACTTAATCTATAGTTTTGTGATAAACTTAACACTAAACTTGTAGTTTTTTTATATAACATCTTAAATCTATAGTTTTGCAATAGTTTGATGAAAATATTTGTAGTTTTATAAAATTTACTCTATTTATATCAAAGTGCAAATAGTATCAAGCAAGTATTTATGAATGGAGGGAGTATGAATTACTCTGTTTTTCTCTATTTTGACCTTGATGAGATGTGGAGTGAAGTTAACTAGTTCGGAGGTATGGATGGTTTACTACATAATTAATTATGTATTAGCTAAAAAACATAAAAAATACATTAGTATGATTTTCTAAAGCAACTTTTCTATAGAAAATTTTTAAAAAACACGTGCGCGCAAAAAATAAAGGAGTAGAAGTTGGTAACTCGGAAAAAAGAACATAGCCTAGGGCTAGTTCGTTTCCTCGGTTTGGAGGGAGATTTCCAGAGCACACCAAACAAGAAATATTATTAGCATATGATTAATTAAGTACTCATTTCATCTTATTATATAGAGGATTATACCTTTTTTAAAATTAATAAAGTAGCAAAAGGACATGTGATAGGAAAAAAAATGATGGGTGAAAAAAGTACTCATTTCGTCCCTAAATATAAGGTATTTTGGTTGGATGTGACACATTCTAAAGCCTATCTAGATTCGTTGTACTAAGATAAGTCACATCCAACCAAAACATCTTATATTTAGGGACAGAGGGAGTAGTACAAAAGGTAGATGAGAGAATAAATTATTACAAAAGTGAATAGTGATGGAATAAAACAGTACAAAAGTTGGTAGGTTGAGAATACAATACCAGCTTAGGATCCCAAGATCTCTTATATTTTACAAAAAAAAATTGAAGGAAAAAACCATCTATGTTATGGGATGGAGGAGTATTAAATATTTTAAACATGAAAAATAAATTTATTTGATTTTTAAATAACTTTTATATACAATTTTTTTCCATGCATAAATTTAATATTTTGAAAAGTGTACTATTATAGGACGAGAAATTTGAAGTTTAGAGTTAAAAGAAAATAACAAATTGTTAATTAAAGTCAATATAACAACATATTGTTATTATATTGTCTAATATTATTATACCCTCTTGCACGTATGGATATTTTCATATAGTAACTTAGGAGTTAATAATGTCTTATGATATAAAATGAAATGGAGGTAATAACTTATCATAATTATAAATTGAAGTGAGTAGCGGATAAATGCTACTGCCCCCAAAACCAATTAATTACTCTTCATAGTTCATGCTTTACTAGAAACAGAAAGTCAGTTTTGTAAAATTTGCAAATGTCACCCTAGGAAACACGAGAATTTACCATCCACCCCCACCAATCCATCGCCCATCCGCTGGCTAAGCTACGCCCACTCGATCGCCGCTAAATTAGCTAAAAAGCTACTTAAAGCAAGCTCACGAGAGGACGTGGGCGGCGGCGCGCGCGTCCATGGCGACCCGGACGAACACGTCCTCCAGCGTCGCGTCCGCCACCCCCCACGCCACCACCGGCGCCGCCCGCCGCGCCGCCTCCACCGCGCCCAGCACGCCGTCCAGCCGCGCCCCTCGCCGGGGCACCTCGAACCGCTGCGTCCCGCCCACGCCGTACACCTTCGCCGCGCCGGGGCACCGCCGCGCCACCGCGCGTTCCACCGCCTCCTCGTGCCCCGCCGCCGTCGTTATCGTCAGCGCCCGCACGCCGCCGTACCTCGCCTTCAGCTGCAACATCAATCAATCAATCAATCCATCAATCAATCAATCAATGCACTTATTACTGAATAGCCGGCAAAAAAAATTCAAACTTTCAGATGAATTAATTCTGCATTTGCTTTTTTTAACTGAGTTTTTGAGGTGTTTAAATTTGATTACCTCCTTTGGAGTTCCGAGGCACTGGAAATTGCCGTCGACGAAGATGCCGACGCGGTCGCAGAGCTCCTCAGCCTCCTCCATGGAATGTGCTGAAATGTTCAGTGTTCATGTATATAAATTCAGTTCTAGTTGCTAAATTAGTCACAAATATTGCAGTTTGCATGTATAGCTGGAAAGAAAAAAATTAACCAAGAGGAGGAGTAATTAATTACTGGTGAGAATGATGGTGCAGTTCTTCTTTGCTCTCTTAATGACATTCCAGAGATTGCTCCTCGATGTCGTGTCCAATCCGGTGCTCGGTTCGTCCATGTAAACAACCTGTTCAACATCAATGGAATCAATGAGAGATAGTTACAGCAGAAGTTTTTTCAGAGATGTGAGTGGAAGGGAATGAAGAACAGTTCATGGTAAATTTACTACCTTTGGGTTGCCAATCAGTGCGATGGCGACACTAAGCCTTCTTTTCATGCCACCACTGTACTTGTTCACCGATTTGTCGCCGAAACCGCTGTGGAACAGATTTACACTCTTCAGGGATTCATTCACTGCCTGGATCAAGAAAAGTAAAATCTGATGATCAAATACTAGAATTGTTTCCAATGTCATGTGTAGTACTACAAATGGAGTGAACATTTGCAATTTTACTTGTAAGAAGTATAGTAGGAGTATGAGATTTGAAACTCGCAGTTTGACTGTATAAAGCTAGTGCTGTAATTTTACATGTTCTTTCCTTTTTTCATGGCTTCAATTAAACTACCTTCAGTAGAGCAGCACCTGTGAGATTCTTCAGTCGGCCATAGAACATTAGATGCTCTCTTCCTGTCAGAGTTTCCCAAAGCAAACTGCACACACATTGAACAATTTCTTTTTTGTTGGCAATGATATCACTAACAAAACCATCTTCAGAAGAAATGCAAAAGAACTAGCCACTTGAGATCATACTCGTGCTGTGGACATACACCAATGTTTGCATATATTTCATTCATATCTCTCCTCAAATCCATCCCATGTATGTAGGCAGTTCCATAAGTTGGCGCCACAAGTCCAATCATCTGCAAATATAAATTGGTCCAAAAGGTGTATTTGTTAGGTTTTTTCATGTTATTTCACTACTAGGAAAAATGGATAAATTTAAGTACTACTTGATTCATGTGAAAAATGAGAGCTACTTTGAAGTGTTGATGAAGCAGATATAAATGCTATTTTGACAAAACATCATAAGAAGCACAAGAATATTGTGAAATATTCACCATGTTGATGAAGGATGTTTTCCCTGCCCCATTGGGACCAAGCATTCCAAAACACTGTCCTTTGCGCAAAGCAAGCGACAATCCTTTAACAGCAAGCTTATCAGGGTTTCCATTCTTTCCAGGGTACACCTTCTTCAGGTTATGGCATATGATCATATTCCTCATGTCCATTTCCTTCAGCAATTTTTTCACCACCTTGCGCTGAAAAGTAGAATTTTGAACAACAATTTATGACAGTATCCTTGTTGCATATTATAGTTCTGCATTACTTCATTATACTTCTATCTTGGAAAACGCCATCTATTAACTTCTATAGACGTGTATTTAATCACACCTATTGCAGATAAAAAAAAAGAAGCACGCCAATTCAGATGGATTGAGATCCTCTACCTTCGAAATCACCATGCCTTTGTCCCACATGTCAGTGACAAAGTCACATGACTTTGAAGGTAGGTGATCCTGATCCTATTCGGATGTATGCTTAACTAACCTCAAGGAAAACATCAGGTTTTGCCATATCAGCAAACACCTTTCTGGACCTCTGTTTCACTTTGTCTGGTATGATTGTTGGTGAAGAGTGCTTTGTTGACATAAACCCAAAGAGGAACAGTGGATGCCATGTAGGTCTATGATCCAGTAAAAATGCCACAGGAAGCAGAAGTATCCATTCTATAGACATTAGAAGCAAAACATCTTTCATCCCATTGATGGGGTCATTCAAGTCCCTCCATTGCATCCCAGGCTTTCCCATTTGCCTTCCTGCAAATGCATACTCTGCGAGCTCGTAAAATCCTCGGTAGAGGGCGAACCCGGGAACAAGCTCCATTGTCACAAGCCATTGTTCTAATAAACAGGTAGAATGGTAGTTTTTAATGAGTATCCAATAAATATTCAGAATAATTCCTGGGAAAAAAATTTATATGGGAACAATTGCAGAAGTGCTTATACTTACTTGGGAATGTAATATCTTCAATGAACAATTGCAGAAGTGCTTCTCCAAGAAGGCTTGATCCAAAGACATAAATGTAACTAATTACTGTAACACAGAAAATATTTGATTCTGAGGTCACTTGAAGAGCTATAGAATGAACAGAACAGAAGGTTTGAATTTTACTAACCACTAGCAGACTTGACAGACGAGAAGAAAGACGCAAGCAGAAAGGCGAGCACGATCTGAAGGTTGATATATAGAAAATAGAATACAAATTGTATGCTGTAGCTATTTAATCTGAAGATATCTAGCCCTGTAATACCAAAAAGAGTTCTCTCAGTGATTTCGAAGATTACTCGAATGTGCTAAATTCTCAATTTCCATACTCTGTAGTTAACTAGCACAGTACCTATAAGGGACCCAAACATCACGAAGAACATCATATAAGCTGCTGAAAGGGACAAAAAATAGGCGTAAGATATCATCCAATAAGGTCCATCCTTTAGCCCATGCATCTTCATCATCAGTCTTAAATTGTGCTGCTTCTCATAAACAAGATATGTCAACATTACCTGAAAAAACCATTGAAATAAATTGGTAAATAACTTATGTATGAATCCAAGATAGCTTTGATAAGAGATTGATTGTGGGACGCGATAAAGTTAACTCACTGGAAGGAGGAGTTGAACTGTCCATGTAAAGAATAGTGCATCAAGGAGTGTGGTAAGGTCTAGCCTGATTTTCATTGCAGCTTTTGGCATTTCTTTCAAATATTCCAGGCGCATTTCTACATTAGGTCCTCGAAGAAACTTCAGATATGCGGTGGATGCCTGATGAAAATGCATAACAGTAGTGATAATACTAAGTTATTTAGGACCTATAACAGATGAACTCATTTTTAGGAAAGGACTCTGAAAAAAAATGGCACATATATCCATCTGGGCAACAAAAACAACACAAATGACAAGAACCATGAAGTGTTGTTGTAGAAGATGTGCTGTTTTTGCTACAGTAGCCTTGTTTTGATGGAACAGTACAGGAGTGCACCATGCCTTTTATGTAGCACTTCCATTTCTAGTTCTTACCATATATTTTTTGAATGCGGGTATCCCCATTTTCCATTAAGCGAAATGGTAAAAATCATGTTTTCCGGTTCTTACTATATAATGATTGATATTTCTTTAGTTCAGATAAATGCCCTTTAATATTCAATGGAGTATTCCTCTACCTAAAAGTGAAACTGTACCACAACAGGCAAGTTAAGTACCATATTAACCAACCGTGCAACACGCAAAACTGTCATGGGATGGTGTCCATTGTCCCTGCTGAAGGTAGAGTTGTATGAGACATACACATGAAACCTCCTCTTGCTTGTATCAAGAAAATCATAGCCTGCAAAAATGGACCTTAAAATAAGTTAGTTGTTCAACCCGCCAAAAAAAAACTGAACTGCTACTTTAGTAGCACAGTTGCAAGGAAAACTAAATTAAAGTACCAGCAAGATATTCGTTCGATGTCCTCCTCTTATTCCCACCCTTATAACCCTTATACAAATGGTCATTCATCACCGCTGAATTCCGGCACCACAGTGATAAACCTTGAACGCACTTCACATCTATTACAATTAAAATAAAAAGGAGTGCACAAATGCACAAGTAATTCAGGGTTGAAAACATTTCATGCTAGTTGCTACGACTTCATACAAGCAAGAAACAAACAATCTTTTACCGAGTTGAATTGGCATCGCATCAGAACTTCTAGAAGTATTGTGCGAATCCCATATACATTTTCTTTGAATCACATATAGGGTACTATTGGGCACAAATCCTGGTTCTATGAACAATACATGCGCTGGTAATGTGCTTGTACCCTGGAAGAAGAAATATTCGGTATCACCTTTCCATCACAAATCAGAGTTAAAAAAGTATCGAATCTTTTGTGTAAAACGCCACTGATCACTCAAAATTTCAAATATTCAACTCACAGGGACTATTTTTGATAACTCATCAATATAAGATGAATTGTTGGAATTGGGCACACCAAGATAGTATGAAGGAGGGACATCTGGGAAAAATCCCCTTCCAAGGCCTGGCAAAAAAAAAAAGTTCCATTCACAACAACAAAAGCAAAAGCAAAAGTTGTAGCAAAACACGTGTGATGTGTGTGCGTAGTGGTGTTTGTAAGGAAAATGATCCTCTGGCTTAACTGCATGTGTAATTGAGCCACTGACATGTGAGCTATAGTAAAGTGAGACTCACATGTTAGTGACTTAACTGTCAGAGGATCTGCTTCCTACGTGTGAAATTTGACATTATGCCATTGTCACAAGTGGGTTTCGCCCAAATACCATTCTCCAAAAGGGATTCGATAAAATGCCATTATCAACTCATGCCTACTCGCTAGAATACTATTTGGGACCAAATTACCCCTCCACTCCTCTTCTTCATCCATCCACAGCTCCATTCCCTCTCCATCAAGGATAGTGGCAGCGGCCCGGCGAGCTATGGCCATCGCCTCCTCCTCCTCCTCCCTCTCCACCGGGGATAGCGGCGGTGCCCCGGTGGTCTCCGGCCATCGCCACCTCCACCTTCTCCTCCCTCTCCACTAGGGATACCGGCGGCGCCTCGGCGGGCTTCGGCCATCGCCGCCTCCTCCCTCTACACCGGGGACAATGGCGCCACCTAGGCAAGCTCTGGCTATCGCGGCAGGGAGTTGAGTGCGACCCCTCTCTTCTCGTCACTACGCATGAGCGGCTCGTGAAGGATGGCCTACATCAAGCATTGCCTCGACCAGGTTCGCCATCGACTCCAGTGTAGGTCACCTTGTCGTGCACACCGAGTGCCGATGACGTGGCCTCTGCTTTCTTGCTAATGGTTAGTGCCCTATCTCGCTGACTTTGGGCCTCACCGACTCTACCTCTCCCTCTAGTTGTTGGCCCACCGGCATTTGGTCCCATCGCCGATCTGCTCTCCTCTCCTCTCTCTTGTCATGTAAGGGGAAATGTTTGGACTAGCTGAGAGGGGGGAGAAGAGTGGAGGGTAATTTGGTCCCATATAATATTCTAGCGTGTAACCGTATATTGATAGTGGCATTTTATCGAATCTCTTTTTGACAGCGGCATTTGGGTGAAACCCACTTATGACAATGGCATAATGTCAGATTATTCGTGTATGGGTGCGTCTTTCATACAATAAAGAAAAAACAAATTTAAAAAATCGAAAGAAAAAATGCAGAGGAGCTACATGAACAACATAAAAATATACTACATTTGCTGGTTTGCATGCACCTTCAGTCAGCCGGCGGTTCTGGCCGGTGGTGAGCACGGCGACCGGGCACGGCGCCTCCGACGCGCCGCTGCCACCGTCGCCGCGACACCTCGCCGGGTGCACGGGCGTCAGCGCGCGGTACGGCTCGTCCGGCACCTGCGTCACCGCCGGCCACCTCGGTGGCGCCGGCACGGCGCAGCTGAGCGCCTGCGTGGCCGTGGAGTGCTGCACGCCGCACTCCGTCGCCGCGCACGCGCCCGCGCCCGCGCGGCCGCCGTCGCGGCGCACGCAGGCGCAGCCGCACCGGAACGGCGGCCGGTCCAGCTCGCCGTCGATGACGGCCTGGATCGTGACGAGCAGCACGCACAGCAGCGCCGGGAACGCCGCGATCGCCGCGTTCGCCTTGGCGTTCCTCCTCTGCCATCCCAAGAACACGAAAAAAATTCAGCAAGCTCTTGATAACATATTAACATCTCAAGAACCAAACATTATCTTCATCCAAGAACAAGTTTGAAATCGATTTCAAGAACCGGATTCGTGGATGGATGAAACAGCATTTGCATCACCATCACCTACCTGGAAAGAGAGGTTCTTGAGGAGGAGCGCGTGGACCTGCCTGAAGAACCTGGAGCAAGAACCTGCCGCCGCCATTGGAGCAAGCTTCTCCGAGCTCTGACAGATCAAACTCGACGCAACAACAACGATCGATCGATCAGCAAGCTCGCATATATAGCAAATTAGCAACGGTTTGCAGATTTGCAGTGTTGACTCAACTCAAACCGACCAGCTGATCACCACGGCGCGGCGCCGTGAGAATCACGCGTCGGTTGCCGCCGGGGCATCAGGCGCCGGACAGGGAGAGATCAGCGGAGGATTGCAGATGAAGCTTCACTCCTTCCATGGCAGCAGGCAGGAGCACTCTGATCTCACTCCAAGAAAAGCTGCGTCATCGTCCCTTAACTATGGCGGGTGTTACGCTTGCATTTTAATTGTTTAACTCAAGCTTCGCAGTAACTGAAGTTTTGCTTCATCAGTTACATGAGGAGAGCAGAGAGATTGACAATGGCATGGCTGCATTGGGATTTGATCCATGTGTCTAGCAAGGAGTGACATATATATGTATATTAAATATATACTATATAGTTAATTAGTGACTGGTCCTAAATTCTTCAGAGTTTAGAGCATTGTCACAGTGCAGAAGTCCCTTCTATGAATTCAGTTTACTAGCCACCTTTCTTGTTTTGGAGTTCAGTTTGGGACTTGGGAGTTATCTGAACTCATGGTAGCTAGTAGCTGAGACATCAAGAAGAGAGGGACAGGGATTGATGGAATAAGACAAGCCTTGTGTTCATCGCTTCTAAAACGGTACTACCAAATGGACTAAATCTTGTGGTTGCAGTAACTTCCCATGACTCATCTTTCAAGGAATTTAGATTATCATCAGTTCATGCTTCCATTTTTTTTTATCCCCTTGTTATTCTATTTTCCCTCTGATGCTCTGTTACGCAAGAGTTTTCGTTGGTACGAAGACTGATGCTCTCCATCTCCACATTGATCTCATTGGAAGAAAGAAAGAATGGTATTAAATGATATTAGCAGAGATAGGTTTAGGTTCTTGAGTACTACTCACCTTGGGTTCGTCAGTAATGTGATAGCTTCATGTGAACGAAAGGTATCACCGTATCAGTACTGTAGAGTGATAAAATCATCCTTGGTGCCGGCAAATTCAAAGATGGATCAAAGGAAAGCACAGTTACCAACATAAGCAAATTGACAGTATCTTAGTTTAGAAGTTAGAGCAACCTCCCTTCGATTCCAGCAAATTGACTTTTGTTTACAGCATGACATACTAAGCAAAACAGTTGACAGATGTCTGAGGACTCTTATATCTCCTCCGTTTCAAATTACTTGACGTTCTAGATTTGTCCTAGGTCAAACATCAATTTCTCTAAACTTATATAGTTTAACATCATAAGATTTATATTTTAATATATCCATCACAAGAAATAATTTCATGATATATAATTCGCATATTGTTAAACTATATAGATTTATAGAAATTAATGCTCAAAAATAGAAATATTTGATTTAGGACAAATCTAAAATGACAATTAATTTGAAACGAAGGGAATATATATATGAGAGTGATATGACTTGTACTTGTTCCATGTGAATATAGATTTTAGATCTTACAGCCAAAAATCTAATGATGCATTCTAAGATAATATATGTTGTGTGACTTCTGTAAGTCCTGGACTATTAGAAATTCAAAGAGAGCAGATGACTGTAGATGCTTTCCTCCAAGGACTCTTAAAAACAAAATCTTCAGGTTCTTATTTTTTAACACCAAGATAATTATTTGACTAATGACAATAGTTTATTCTTGTGGTTGGAACCAGCGCACTAAACAAAAACACTTCATGTGGTAGCTGCACAAGATTACAGCATCTGAAATCCCCAATCAAATAAATTATTCAGATAGATCAGTACCCAATGCTATTTTGCTTGCAATTTCAGTTACGGCCACCCTATAATTACTGGTCAAAATTCAAAAGATTGACAAAATAACAAGACCTTATTCAGAGGCACAACATCTCAGTATGAGAAGAGGTTTGAATCCATTATCTATCCTATTCCAAATAAAATAATACTCTAGTTTTTTTTTAAAAAAAAATTCCGATGCTCCCACAATGAAATGATCATTGGTAACTATAGCAGTATAAAATCAGAATAAGTGGTCTCTTTAGTTCTCAGAAGCTATTAATGTATTGTTCAGGATGTCATTGAAGGATAATGAATCAAAGAAAGATACAAGTAGGGACTAGGTAATGTGCTTTCTTAACATTGTTTTCAACATTTTACTAAATAAAATAAAATCGCATATAGCTTTCTGTTTGCGGGAAAAAAACCCGATATAGTTTTAAATATGCACATTCTGCTCAGCTGGTTTTAGTCAAAATCAACTACCACTAAGGCCATGTTCGGTTAATCCCCAAGAGGGAGGGATTGGAGGGGATTTATTGCACACCTATTGTGATGTGGAATTATTCCCCCTCAAATCCCTCAAATCCCCTTCAACCCCCTCTAAACCCAAAAAGGCCTAATTGGTGTTATACATTACAATATGAATTCCATGGTTGCTAAATATACAACTTTACCATACTACATGAACAACTCAATCACAATGCCAAGTAAAGGTTAGCATATAGTTCAAACAAACTATATACAACACATGATCCTATGAAGGAAAAAAAATAACCACCTATCGATCCATAATATTATTTACGCGATCACATTGACTCCTTGTGCTCCTTTGGCAACCTTGATGAAGACATCCTCCAAGGTGGTGTCGACGAGGCCCCAAGCGTGTATGCTGAACTGTCTTTTTGCCTTCTCAACTGCATGGAAAACGTCTGCTATCTTCACCTCCTGTTTTGGCAGCTCAAATTTCTGCGTCCCTGATATGTGATATATCCTGTTTGCACTTGGTGACAAATGCTGAACCAGCTGTTTGACCTCCTGTTCATGTTCTGAAGATGTTGTCATAGTGAACACATATGTGCCACCATATCTAGCTTTCAGCTGCCAAAACAGAATGCAATCCAAATATTCAGATATTAACAAATGTTTATAATAGGCATGTTACATTAAGTGTATTTATTTGTTTTTGCAGGTAACTATGTAAATTACCTCCTTTGGATTCCCAAGGCATTGAAAACCACCATCTACAAAAATACCGAGTCTATCACATAGCACCTCTGCCTCTTCCATTGAATGTGCTGAAAAAAAACATACTGGATTATCCACTATTATTGTTCATATAGGCAATTTAAAGAAGGTCAGGAAAGCTCATTACTTGTAAGAATGATAGCACGATTTTTCTTTGCCTCCTTCACAACATTCCACAAGTTATTTCTTGATGCTGGATCTAGTCCAGTGCTAGGCTCATCCATGAAAACAACCTAAAAGAACTTTTTCAGTTGCACATTCCATTGCATTATGTGCAGTTGAAAATCAACACACATAAATCATATTAGTACCTTGGGGTCCCCAATCAATGAGATTGCGACACTAAGCCTTCGTTTCATGCCACCACTGTACTTCCCCACTTGCTTATTTCCAACACCACCGTGAAACAGGTTAACATTCTTCAGGGAGTCATCAACTGCCTGATAGTATGCTATTTGTCAGTTCAAATATTGATATATTCATGTGTAATATTGGAATTGTTACCACAAGACAAAATTAACACACCAATTTACAGTGAAGGAAAATAAAGAGATGAGTGTGAAGATAACTATACCTTCTCTAATTCAGCGCCTTTAAGATTCTTTAATCTCCCATAAAACAATAGATGCTCTTTTCCAGTCAATGTTTCCCAAAGTAGGCTGTATTTTAAGCAGCATTAGCAACCACAATATATTTTGCAATGGATTACCATAAAAATGGTACTAAATAAATTAGTTTTAGAGCAAGAATCATACTCGTGTTGTGGGCATACACCCATATTTGTGTAGATGCTATCCATATCAGTGTTTATGTCCATCCCATGGACTAATGCTGTGCCAGATGTGGGTGGAATGAGCCCAATCATCTATGGAGGAAAAAACATGGAAAGTATATGCCAAGTAAGGATCGTGCAACATTGTCTATTTTTTTTGTCAGAATTGAAGAGCTACTTGTTGCCACTGTACCATGCTGATAAATGATGTTTTCCCAGCTCCATTCGGGCCAAGCATACCAAAACATTGGCCTTTAGGGAGGGCAAGAGACAACCCTCGAACTGCAAGTTTGTCCGGGTTTCCATCCTTTCCATGGTAAACCTTCTTCAGGTTGTCGCATATGATTGCTTGGCTTGCATTTGGTTCCAGCAGAAGTTGCTCGACTACCTCTCTCTGGATACAATTTAGCAAAATCAGGAATGAAACATTTATGCAATTTGAGAATATGCAACAACACGATTTCAACATATATACAAAATCAGGATTAACTTACTTCTTGGGAAACATCAGGGTTGTCCATTTCAACAACTACTTTAGACCCTTGTCTCCCAAAGCTCCTCCGCAGTGATACAGCACGATTTTTGAAACGTTTCAAGAAGAACATGGGTGTTTTACGGGCTCCACTACCCAATGATGAGATTTTATCCAAATAAAATGCTAATGGGAGTAGAATAGCCCATTCGACAACCATGATAATCAAGACATTGCGCATTCCATTCTCAGAGTCCCTCAGATTAGTCCACTCCATACCATTTGTTCCCATTGCATTTCCAGAGAATGCATATTGACCAAGCTCATATAACCCTCGGTACAGCGAAAATCCAGGGATGATTTCCATGACTACTATCCAACCCTCTTTGAATGGAGAAAACAATGCTCGTCATGCATAAGATATAAAAAACAATAGCTAAAATAAATAGAAAAGAAACCTACTCGGAAAACTAGTAGACTCCACAAAAAACCTCAGAAGAAATGCCCCTAGTAAGCCAGAACCAAATACATATATATAACCAACCACTGCAGCACAGAAATTTCTCAAATTAGTCATCCACGAGTCTTCTTTGGAAGTTGAGCATTTGAATCACAAACCTGTGGCTGTTTTTACAGAAGAAAAGAAGGCCGCAACGAAAAATGCAAGTGCGATCTGAAGATTTATGTAGATGAAGTAGAAAACAAACTGAATGCCGTAGTTATTTGTTTTAAAGAAATTTAAACCTGTAAGGAAGAAAGTTAATTTTGTAAGCATGATAAATTTATTTGCAAAAATACAATGGATTGAAGAAATTTCCAGTTGATTACCTATCAAGGATCCAAATACCACAAACACTATCATATAGACAGCTGATAGAGCAAAGAAGTAAGAATATGATATCATCCAGTAAGGCTCATCCTTCAAGCCGTGCATCTTCATCATAATTTTCAGCTTCTGTTGCTTCTCGTACACGAGATATGTTAAGATAACCTGGGAACAAAATGAAGTACCAACTAATTTGATGTCCTCTGCAACTTATGTAAGAGTTAAGAAAGGTTGCATCTCATACTCACTGGAAAAAGTAGTTCAATGATCCAGGTGAAGAACAGAGCACCAAGAAGAGAAGAGAGATCAAATTTTGGTTTGGTTCCTACTTTTGGCATATCTTTAACGTATTCAAGCAGCATCTCCACTCCACTTCCTTTAAGAAATTTCATGTATGCATTGGATGCCTATAGGAAAGATGGAATGAGTTGTATTAGTAGTTGTAGTGCATATGAAAATTGTTAGACTTGAGGTAGTGGAAGTTCAGTGTACGTACCGTGTTAACCAAGCGTGGAACTCGTAGCAATGAGATGACGTCATATGCAGTGTTGTTGTTATATGTAGAGTTGTACCAAATGTTTATTTCAAGACCATTGTTGTTTGTGTTCAGAAAATCATAGCCTTTGGAAAAAAAGCAAACTTAGACATAAGGTAAGGAACCATTACATCAATAGTGGCAGACACTTTTCTCTGAGGGGATCAGAAGATGAAATCACCTGCAATAAATTCATTTGTCTTTCCTCCTCCACCTCCTCCACCTTGCTGTCTATAACCTCTAAATAGTTCATTATTAATTTGTGATGCACTTTCACGCCATAATGATAAGCCTTGAACGCAGTCTATATCTGGACATTGCGAAATGCATATCAGATTTGGACATTTTCACAGGTGTAGGAAACATATATGAAAGATTGAAGGGACATTGACAGACTTTAGTCTTACTGTTGAAGTATAACACTGGAATTCAACATCAACAGAACATTGCTAATCAAACATATTTAAATCTAGATTTTTATAGTCAAATGATGTTATAGAACTTTATGCCAATATGGCTTTGGTGTCTTATTTAATAATGCCTCCCCCAGTCCCAAATACATGTTGTCTTGAACATATACACAGTTTCTAAAATGCATCTTTGACCGCTGATTTCTGTTGCAATATATTTATAAAACGCGATAGACCTATAATATTACAAAAGAGCATTTCAAAACGACTTGTATTTCTTACTGGAGGGTATAACTGACAAATAACGCGGTACGACTACTACTCTTTTTACCAGGCATTAAGTCTGACTATTGATAATGACGAGGAATACTGTGCAATTCCAGGTCCGAGAATATAACTGTGACCAGTGCTGAGGTAGTAATTCCAAATGGCAATGATTTTTTTATAATATTATCATAATTACCTACTTATTCGGTATACCATATGCCTTTACTTCCTAGTACATATTAAATTAAATAAGTTAGGCCTAGCAAGTTACCCTGTTTTCGCTACCTGCTTCCTTCAAACAAAGATGCAGCTGAACGAAAAACTGTGAAAAGAAAAGCAACTTACTGAGTTGAATGGGTACAGGTCCAGCTTTGTTAGAAATTGTTCGTGATAAATTGGACGAACACTGAGGCTGGACCACATATAAAGAATGCCCTGGGGTAAATACCGGCTCTATGAACTGCGTTGTCCATGTCCATGTGTCTGACCCCTAAGACAAATAAATCCAATCAAGAGCTCCACACATTAGAGAACATGGCAACCATGACTAATGACTGTACAAGCAATTCTGCCATTAGGCACGAATAAACTCACAGCAACAATCTTGGAGAACGCGTCAAGATAATCCGTGAAATTCAGAGAGGGAGGCACAGCAGGGAACAATCCACCCCAAAGACCTGCCAACAGTAAAGCATCAATGAATTAATGAACACTTTTGATCCAAAGATTGAACAACAAATCAGATGTTTTTTTCCCCTTCTAGTATGTCTTCGAACTAAGAACATACTTTGAGCAAGCGAGCGGTTCATTCCGGTGACAAGGACAGAGGCAGGGCAAGACCCTGTGTCCCTGCAGGTCGGGTCAGGCAAACCGTCGAACGGCTGGGAGGCGATCCTGACGGCCCGGGACTCGGGGCGGGGGACCTGGACCAAGGCCGGCCATGGCGTCGGGCTCTTGATCGGGCAGCTCCCCACCTGGTCCAGCGTGGAGTGCTCGACGCCGCACTCCGTCCTCCGGCAGGTCCCGTCCGGCGCGGCGTCCACGCAGGCGCAGCCGCACTGGTACTTGGGCTTGTTGATCTCGTGGTTGATCACCCCCTGGAGCACCACGAGGATCACGCACAGGAACACCGGGAACACCGTGATGCACGCGTTCGTCTTCATGTTCCTCCTCTGCATCAAAGCAAGAAATCGCAAGCAAGCAAGAAACGGTGAGGAAATCGAACCAAAACCTGCGAAATCGGGGAGACGCGCCAAGAAAGAAAGAGGGAGGAGGGGACCTGGAAGCAGAGGTTCTTGCGGAGGAGGGCATTGGCCTGCGTGGCGAATCCGGCGGCGCCCCTCGACGACGACGAGGAGGAGGTGTCTGCCATCGTCGGAGGCGGAGGAGGTGGGGGGAGAAGCTACGCTGCACCGGCGATCGCCTTCGTCTCCGGGCTTTATAGCCGCCATTTTCAACTGGCTCCCGCCAAATCTGCGTCGTCACGCCGCCGCCGTGAGGGGGGGGGGGGGGGGGGGGTGGTGGTCGCTCTCCGCGAGGGACCGTATTGTAATAAAGAGAAGTTGGGAGGGGGTTGGATGCAAAATCTGTTAGCCGTTAGGGTCACTGTCCTCCGTCAGGGAGGCCGTTAGCCCACGGTTCAGTACACACTGCCTCCTGAAATCTGAATACCGTTAGCATGTTTGGTAATAAGAAAAAGGTTAAGAGATCACTAGGATGAGTGCCAACTGCCAATGTACTGCTAAGGACGAATTGATCAAGAGTTGCTATTTGGTGAAATCTAAACATGTTTGATAAGAAAATACTTTTGGCATTTCCCGCTTGTGTTAAGTGTTAGAAACATGCGTAACTGGCCTTTTTGTCGAAACTAATTATTGGAGCATTTGTCGAGACTTTGGGTGTCGGTCCGTTGTTATTACGCACCCTAGGTTTGACGAGCATTATGTAAAAATAATAAATTTACTATTGGCATTCACTAATCACTAGGCTTGGATTCGAGGCGAAGAAAGAACAAAATCTGCGTTGAAGAACAACAAGATCGAAGAGGAGAAATTAATTGCAACGTGCATCTAAACCATGTTATCGTGAAGAGAGAATCTTTGACAAATCAAATGAAATATCCAAAAACCAAGTCAAAGTCAAACATGTAGAGCGAGAGGGGAGGATTTCGTACAAGGGGCTTGTACTTGTACCTCACAAAGTGACAATGGACTTCAAGTGTGTGGTATAGGTTGAATTTGTTTAAACAACTCTGTTATTTAAGTTGGAAAAACGATACCCTGCGGCATGATGGGATTCCATATACGTGGATTGCAAAAGGTCCACTCGTATTGTATAATCTGTGGAAGGGTAGGACTTGTTAATTACTCCATCCGTATTTTAATGTATGACGCCATTGACTTTTTAACAAACGTTTGACCTTTCGTCTTATTCAAAAAAATTTATGTAATTATCATTTATTTTATTGTGATTTAATTTATCATCAAATGTTCTTTAAGCATGACAAGCATTTTTGTATTTACATAAAAAAAAATTGAATAAGACGAATGGTCAAACATTGGTTAAAAAGTCAACAGCGTCATATATTAAAATACAGAGGGAGTACTTGCTTAACATTTCCTTGGGCACCAAGAGATTTAGTATTAAATTTATTGTGCTATTGATCATATGTGGTTGCTAAGATGATGTGGGATTAGCAGACAAATTAAATTACACTTAGAATAATATCCAAACAAAAATATATCTACCGTAAACCTCGCAATACTTCCTCGAAGACCTAAAGAAAGTGATTTTATACTTACATATTCTAGTGTAATTTTTTTATCTCACCTAGCGTAAATGTGATACAAGCTTAGTTCCAAATTTTATGCTGGAAATGTAAAATAACTGTAGAATTTCACCTAAAAAAACTCTTGAATTTAACGTGGTGCAACATCACTTTCTACTTAGGTATAGCCAAATTTGGCATGTATTAGTAATTATATTTTTTTACTAATTGTGCTGTCTATTGTATTTTGTGCTTAATTATTGCACACCAGAATCTCTAGGAGTGGACAGCTGATTGTTTTACAATTAGAGGGGAAAATTATAGATAGAATGTCAAAAGCGATGAGCTTAATTTGAGAAAATTCCAAGAAACAAGTAGCTTTTCACGCAAAAAAAAAAAACAGAAGAAACAAGTAGCTCTTGGCGTTGATTAGTAATCAAGCAGGGTATATAGCCCCAAAGCAAAAGAAGAAGTAGGAGTATATTACACATAAGAAAAACAAAAAGTCCATTTATAGTCACCATCACACACTTGGTCACAAATCACAAAACTTGCATCTGATTGTTCAGATCAAGTACAATTCAAGCACGAAGACATGTCAAAACTAAACTATTATATCACGCGCTGAAGAATTTTCATGTTGAACTTGTTTCGCTACCGTTAGTAACTATTCAATTCAAAATTTCAAATATGGCATAAAAGGGTTCTTTTGATCACATGGTGTGCCCTCGCATATATATGCCAAAACTATCATGAGACCACATCCAGTTTATTGTAATTATTAATCGATTTCAGAAACTTCACTTGAGTTCTCATAGCTAGTTGTAAATATCGCCGTTGGTGGTCAAAAGATAAGACCATTAGTATATTATGAAAACGAACGTTGATAACAGCAAAATTGTCAACATATGTGGCACTACGAGCGAGCTAGCATGCACATGTAATCTATCACCATCACACACATGCAATTCAAACTTGGATTATTTGTGATCCCAATTATTTTGTACATTTACAAGTCACACGTATTGGATAATCTGTGGTTGAAGAGATACGAGTTTGTCCCCGTGCAGATCATGATGTAAAATCAGCAGCAAAGGTACATAAGCATTCTATATATATTCTTATAATAATAATAATGAAAATTTTCCTCACAAAAATGGAATTTACTATGTACATTTTTGCCCTGTTTAGACCCAACCCCAAAATTTTTCACCCTGTCACATCGACCGTTTAAACACCTGCATGAAGTATTAAATATAGGCTAAAAAATAACTAATTGCATAGATTGTGACTAATTTGTGAGATGAATTTTTTAAGCCTAATTGCTCCATGATTTGACAATGTGGTGCTACAGTAAAAATTTACTAATGACGGATTAATTAGGCTTAATAAATTCGTCTCGCGGTTTACTGATGGATTCTGTAATTAGTTTTATACCCGATGTGACATGCCAAAACTTTACACCCCTAGATCTAGACACTCCCTTTGGGTGCCTATTCCTAATATTTGACATACAGATATGCTAGAAATTTAACACTAAAAATGACGTAACTTAATACCTTCTTATAGTCCTAAGAAAACTATTAATTGGTACTAACATGCCACATTATCTAAACTTTGGGCGCCATATTTGGCATATATTAGTAATTAAATTTTTAATTACTAAATTTCCTACTATATTGTGCTTACTGCACATCAGCAGCTCTAGGAGTGGACAGATCAGCATATTGCAATTGGGAAAAACATTTCATTTTTGTTATGAATGTTCCATATGATCTTTAAATAGATAACTATCAAATTAAGTTACAGGCTAACTATTATTTGAGAAAACACAGAGCAACCAGTAGCTCCTCGTGTAGATTGGTATTCAAGAAGAGCCAAACAAAGTCCTCAAGAAAAAAAGGAGAAGAAGAGCCAAACATAATATATTATACAGCAGAGAAACAGAAGTCCAAATAGTCATCATCAAACACATGGTCACAACTCACAAAAACTTGCATCTGATTGTTCAGATCAAGTTGAATTCAAGCATTTAGACATGTCAAAACTATCATATCATGCTGCAGAATTTCCATGTTGGATTTGTTCTTTACCGCGTGTAATAAAACAACACAAAGTTTCAAATATAGCATAACGGTTCTTTTCACATGGTCGTGCCATCACACACACACACACACACACACACACACACACACACACACACACACACATATATATATATATATATATATATATATATATTCCTAATTTGAGTGACTATCATGAGATCACGTCGAGCTTGTTGTGATTATTAATCAGTTTTAGGAACCTTCCTATGAGTTCTCCTAGTTGTGGATATCACTGTAGGTGGTTAGAAGATAAGAGTTGAAAACAAACGTTGACAACAGCAAACTTGTCAACATATGTAATACTAGCTACTGGCTAGCTATCATGCACATGTAATCCGTCACCATCACACATTGCAATTCAAACTTAGATTATTTATGGTCCAAGTTATTGTGTAGATTTATATAAGATCTCATGTCATGGTAACATGTCATGTTGCGGAATGTTGGTATTGTTAAGGCTAGTAATTGTTTCTTACCAAGCATTGAAAAATACTAAACTATAGTCAAATAATAGGAGTATCAAGAGCTCTTTGTAGATGATGTATCTGTACCTCCCAAAAATTATATCCATGTGAGGCTCACTTGTCTGAACTCAATTATCGAAGCACTGAATTTGGTGGAAGTTTCGTTATTTTTGGAGCATATATAACTTAACCTACGCGTACTTTGTTCAGTTTAATTATGCTCTCAGACATGAACTGTTGGCCAAATGCCAATGGTATTAGACATTGGGGAGTCTATTTGGATTTTGTTTAACAAAAGGTTAAACTAAAGGCCCATAACCTGGGACTGCCAATTGGATTGGAAAGTCTAGGTATCTGCTGGTTTAACTTAAGCTCATGGGATATAATTATCAGATGAAGCTATACACGCATAATTAGGTGTCATCTTTAAATTTATATAAGGCTCAACTTGTGTTATAACCCACGTATATATAATTTATCTATACTATATAAAGAAGCTAATCCTGTGCTATTAAAAGAAGCCAATGATGATTGTTAGTGATTTTGCCCCCATTAGCATATCTTTAATTGGTCTATATTTTTCTGCCAAACAAATAGATCATTTGTGAATATTTATAAATTTCATACATAGAGGACAAACAGTCAAAGTTTATAAATGAATTTAGTCCCCGTGCTTAATTATTTAAAAATACGAAGTACTCCCTCCGTTTCATATTATAAGTCGTTTGATCAAAGTTTTTGAGATTTGACAGTTTATAAGAAAATAACAACATTTACAAGACTAAATCAGTTTAGTTAAATTTAATATTGAATATATTTTGATAATATGTTTATTTTCTATTGAAAATATTAGTGTAAGTTTGATTAAGAAAAGAGTCAAACAATTTATAATATAAAACGGAGAGAGTAATATATACTTAAGATTATTTGATGAGAAAGATATTAAAAAAGGCTAGGATATTGTCTATGTGATAATTTTTTAAAAATATAGTTAACATGGGATGTAATATTTTTTTTTATTATGTTTGAAGACCTAATTTAGATAGATCCTACTCAAGCC